GATAAGTATTGAATATTAATGAATTGATATGAATATGCATGCATGAGTAAACACGTGTGAACCAAACCAAATAGATATTTTAACAAAAACATGAAAATTAACTCATCGTTATTTTCTAATCCTAGCAAGCTGCCACTTTCAATTCATAAAAATTGTACTTTTCTCTTTCTTTTTGATATTTATATGCAAATAGAAAATTTAAAGATTTTACTTAGATTACTAAGAACATTATTAAAAAGAACGGGCTGCAATACCCTTACTTCTTTCTGTTTCTCCATCAATTCTCCCCCCTCATCCCCCCTCATCCCCTACATATTCATTAAGTCATCAATCTTTATGCCTAATGTATCGGAGAGAGAGCTCTTAGTCTTACAGTAACTTAAAAACCAGGTAAATCATCAAGAAGAGATATTGAACCATTTACATTATACAATGTGTGCACTTTGTACATCCACTGTTGATTGTACATTGTACATATCAAACCGTAGTTACTGTTATAATCTCCTCCCTGTTGTAAAAAAAAATAGCCAAAAAGACGAAGTTTTACGCTCCTGCAAAGTATTACCAATGATGCAAGTTTTATATGTCTTTTATACCTGTCAAACAGAATTGGATTTTTTTATATTTTCTATATTATGTAAGTGGATACTTAAATTGAACATACACTTACATAGTGATGGTATATTCTTTCGTTCTGGAGGTTTTATTGAGTTTAAATAAAGGCACCATATAAGAATGTTGAAACATTTCAAAAATGCTTTCTGTAAAAGTTTGCTTTTATCAAAATAGAATTAAAAACAAATCAGAAACGAACCTATTAAAACTATCGTTTTTGGTATCTTTTAGCTTATATTTTCTCTCAGGGGGGGTTCAAACTGTGACTTAGTGAAAGAGGAGCAACTGTTTGAAATAAATAATTTTGAAATATGTAAAACTTCTCATATTATGATGGAACCTTTTGAAAGTCAAAAAAACTTTTCAAATGTTAAAACGAACCAAGTTATGTCCCATTACCACATACACACACTCTGTCACACGAACAACCTTCCTGACCGTAGACTCAATACTAGGTTTCTTCAAACTGTTTAACCCTGACCATCCTTTCCCTCTTTTTATACCATTCTTCTCGACATATTCTATTCTTGTTTTTATTGATGGATTGGTACACCATCGTCCCACCTCATTCATTCATAGATACATTCATGGCTTTCATACTTATATTCATTCATGGCTTTTATACTTATATTCATTCATGGCTTTCATACTTATATTCATTCGTGGCTTTCATACTTATATTCATTCATGGCTTTCATACTTATATTCATTCATGGATTTTATACTTATATTCATTCATGGCTTTCATACTTATATTCATCCATGGCTTTCATACCTATATTTATTCATGGTTTTTATACTAATATTCATCCATGGCTTTCATACTTATATTCATTCATGGTTTTTATACTAATATTCATTCGTGGCTTTCATACTTATATTCATTTCTGGCTTTCATACTTATATTCATTCATGGCTTTCATACTTATATTCATTCATGGCTTTCATACTTATATTCATTCATGGCTTTCATACTTATATTCATTCATGGCTTTCATACTTATTTTCATTCATGGTTTTTATACTTATATTCATTCATGGATTTTATACTTATATTCATTCCTGGCTTTTCATACTTTGATTCATTCATGTCTTTCATACTTTTATTCATTCATGGTTTTTATACTTATATTCATTCGTGGCTTTCATACTTATATTCATTCATGGCTTTCAGACTTATATTCATTCATGGCTTTCATACTTATATTCATTTATGGCTTTCATACTTATATTCATTCGTGGCTTTCATACTTATTTTCATTCATGGTTTTTATACTTATATTCATTCATGGATTTTATACTTATATTCATTCATGGCTTTCATACTTATATTCATTTCTGGCTTTTCATACTTATATTCATTCGTGGCTTTCATACTTATATTCATTCGTGGCTTTCATACGAATATTCATTCCTGGCTTTTCATGCTTATATTCATTCATGACTTTTATACTTATATTCATTCATGGCTTTTCATACCTATATTCATTCGTGGCTTTCATACTTATATTCATTCGTGGCTTTCATACTTATATTCATTCATGGTTTTTATACTTATATTCATTCGTGGTTTGTATACTTATATTCATTCATGGCTTTCATACTTATATTCATTCGTGGCTTTCATACTTATATTCAATAAACCCGGTCAATCACCGGTTTTTCAGTTTTCTAAAGAACCCTGAGAATATGAATATGAATAGCAGATCAAAATATATTTTACAGGATTCAAAAGATGAAAATAAATGACCACTAAAAGTTTCTGTAGAGCACATGCAAAATAGTAACGATCCAAAAGTCTACTCTTTCCCTTTTTACTTATGTGATTACTTAATTCAACTCAAATTTTTTTTGACGTTTTCGATAAAGAAACTTTTTATTGCTCCAAAGTCTGATTTTTAAATTTTGCAGCCATATGTCGACGATCTTTGATATTTGAAATTATGAATTCTGTTAGATCATAAAGTCTAGGTTTGAAATATTAAAGGTTAACACCAACAGGTTACCCAGATTTAGGGATTTCCTTTATCTCTTAAAATATCTATGAAAGTCGTTTTCCTTAAAAATTCACTTTAAAAACCTCTTTGAATGCGTATATAAAAATTCAATCCTAAATGACTTGGGAATACCAAACTTTAAATACATTTTAAAAAATATCCCTGCAGTATAAATATACACTATACAGTTTAAAACCCACCCCTGAAAATAAATGTCGCTCATTTTGTCGTGAATTGTTTTTTATCTATTCTATCCTACTGCACTACTCCTCCCTCTACCAACGATTTAGTAATAAAAGGGCGTTTCTTAATCAAGGATGTAGATTGTAGAATTGTAGACTAGAAACAAATTTATTGATTGGAAGAGGGAATGTACGGAAGGTGAGAGGGGGGTTAATCAGGTTGGGGAGGGGGAGGGGGGAAGGGAGGGCGTGAAAACGATGATTGTAAATCTAAAATATCTTCTTAATTAATCAATTAATTAAGACCAACAATACTTTTTATTTCAATTTAGACTAAAAATCGTAAAAATGTTAAACTTAAAAAGTTGTTTTAGCAATGATTTTTTATCAGTTAAAATAAAAACAGGGTTGGATTAAATTAATTTCAGATCAAATGATTTTGATCTATGATTCAATCCCTCGACTAAGTTTTGATTTAAACCTATTGGAAATAATAGAAAATATTAACAGGTAAGGAGAAATATTTTGTTAAAAAAACTAAACCTGGTTGCAGCAAAGCTCCACCCCCCACTCCCTAACTGAAGCCAGTGGTGGCTTAAGGGGGGAAAGTTTAGACGTCCCCTTCCCTGAAAAAATGGTGGGGTGTCGCAGGCACCTTCTAATCCTTTTGACTTTTAAGAATATATTCTTTCCCCCCTTCCACCCTTAGCTGGGCATGGTTTTCACATAAAAATGACCATATTCTCTGTAAAACAATTCCAGAGGAATAACACAAATTTCGGCGCGCTTCGTCCGCAATAATTCAGTTATCCAACCCCAACCCCGCCCCGCTGGAAAATATTGTGAGCCGCCCCTAACCGAAGCCCTTAATATGCGGCTATGAATTGAGCTTAAATAAACTTGGTATGACCAAGGTATCACCTGTTCTCTGAAGAGCAATATAAAGATATTGCTGACATCTAATATACCACTAACTTCGTGTTATATCTTAATACTGTCGCACATGGTTCCACATCTGCTGTTCTTCGGGTTCAATATCTGTAGTTTATTAAATTTTTTCTTGCTAACCAACCAAGTTGGGGGAGGAGGGGGGGGGAGGAAGATAGGGCCGGTTGGTTAAAAATGTGATGGGTAAAGTGGGTTTACAGAATCTTTTATTCGTTCCTGAATTCGAATACATTTTAAATATATATTTTTTCTCATTATTCTTTTCATTCTTTTGGTGATTAAGGGGACTGTAAGGGAAAAATGAAAGGGGGTATAGGCTGAAAGCTATTCAATTTAGCTCTTGATCGCGACCCATGAAAGTTATATCTGATGTTCATGTCTTGAGAAATTGATATAAAACTGAGTCAAATTTCTGCGAAAATTCATATATATACAATTTTGTAAAGAAATAGAAGGTTTAACCCGATCATATTCAGCAAATATGCAACCAATCTGAAATCGAAGATATCCCAGAGAAATCTAATTGTAACTATACTGCACTATCATTGGTGGGAGTTCTGGTGACGTAATATGGACTTATTAATAATAATTAATCATCAATATTATCTGGGATGAGGATTAAGGATGAATATGGGATATATATATACAAGATGAACCGAAGGATGAGGATTAAGGAAGAATTTGGGATAGATAGATACATGATGAACCGAGGGATGAGGATTAAGGATGATTAAAGGATAGATAGATACACGATGAAACCTAGGGATGGGGATTAAGGATTAATATGGGATAGATAGATACAAGATGAAATTAGGATGAGTATTAAGGATGAATATGGGATAGATAGATACAAAATGAATCCTGGGACGAGGATTAAGGATGAATATGGGATAGATAGATACAAGATGAATCCTGGGATGAGGATTAAGGATGAATATGGGATAGATAGATACATGATAAATCCTGGGATGAAGATTAAGGATGATTAAAGGATAGATAGATACAAGATGAATCCTTAAATGAGGATTAAGGATGAATATGGGATAGATAGTTGCAAGATGAATCCTGGGATGAGGATTAAGGATGAATATGGGATAGATATATGCAAGATGAATCCTGGGCTAAGAATTAAGGATGATATATAGATACAAGATGAATACCGGGATGAGAATTAAGGATGATAGATAGATACAAGATGAATACCGGTATGAGTATTGAGGAAGAAACTGAGAGATTTTCAAGTTAAAGTTTCAGTCGGACAGTAACTGCAGAGCAGAACACAGTAAAATACGCGGGTAAAATATATTAAATCATAAGAATAAAATTGAACTGTACAGTGAGTTATTAGTTAGCATAAACATTACATTGTTACACATAATAAATAGATACTATATTTTATTTTATGAAAATCCGCAATCGTTCTGCGGAATAATGTATCAGATAATTTATTAAACATGATTAAATGATCGGGCTTTTTATGAAGTTATTCCCGTATTTAAGATGTACAATGTACATGTATAAATATGTGAAATATTCCCGTATTTAATATGTACAACTGCAATGAGCGTGTATAAATATATGAAATATTCCCTATTTAAGATGTACAATGTACGTGTATAAATATGTGAAATATTCCCGTATTTAAGATGTACAATCTACGTGTGTATAAATATGTTAAATATTCCCGTATTTAAGATGTACAATGTACGTGTATAAATATATGAAATATTCCCGTATTTAATATGTACAATGTACGTGTATAAATATGTGAAATATTCCTGTATTTAAGATGTACAATGTACGTGAATAAATATGTGAAATATTCCCGTATTTAATATGTGTAATGTACGTGTATAAATATATGAAATATTCCCGTATTTAATATGTACAACGTACGTGTATAAATATTTGAAATATTCCTGTATTTAAGATGCACAATGTACGTGTATAAATATATGAAATATTCCCGTATTTAATATGTCAACTGCAATGAGCGTGTATAAATATATGAAATATTCCCTATTTAAGATGTACAACGTACGTGTATAAATATTTGAAATATTCCTGTATTTAAGATGCACAATGTACGTGTATAAATATATGAAATATTCCCGTATTTAATATGTGTAATGTACGTGTACAAATATGAGAAATATTCCCGTATTTAATATGTACAACGTACGTGTATAAATATGTGAAATATGCCCGTATTTAATATGTGTAATGTACGTGTATAAATATGAGAAATATTCCCGTATTTAATATGTACAACGTATAAATATGTGAAATATGCCCGTATTTAATATGTGTAATGTACGTGTATAAATATGAGAAATATTCCCGTATTTAATATGTACAACGTACGTGTATAAATATGTGAAATATTCCTGTATTTAAGATGTACAATGTACGTGTATAAATATGAGAAATATTCCCGTATTTAAGATGTACAATGTACGTGTATAAATATATGAAATATTCCCGTATTTAATATATGTAATGTACGTGTATAAATATGAGAAATATTCCCGTATTTAATATGTACAACGTACGTGTATAAATATGTGAAATATTCCCGTATTTAAGATGTACAATGTACGTGTATAAATATATGAAATATTCCCGTATTTAATATGTGTAATGTACGTGTATAAATATGTGAAATGAAATTTATATTTAAGAATTAGAAGAGCCAGAATTTTTGAGAAAATAGATGGGTACTTAGAATGATAAGAATATTCTTAATATACTTATCTCAAATTTCATTGAGCATATTTAAAAGTTAAGAGAAAAAATACAAATGTTTTGTGTTATTGCAAATATTTTATTAAAATCTAGGTTTTGTGTTATTGCAAATATTTTATTAAAATCTAGGTTTTGTGTTATTTTAAATATTAGATAAAAAATTTTAGGTATTATACGTTCATGAAATTATTTTGATAAAAAGTGCGGACAATCTTTAGAAAACTATTTCATTAAGATGAAAATAATTAAACTTAAAAACTTTAAATAAATTTGTCGTAAAAGTTTGAAATTTTACGTAAAGCAATTAAACTTGTACAAAACATATTCAACGCATTCAATATTCTTAAAAAAAAGTTAATGGTAAATATGGCTATAATAGTTTCTATATTCCAGAAATTCTTTCATCTTAATGTGTGCAAGATTATAAATGTAATTAAATCAAACCCCAGTGTCATTTTATTTTTCTATTCGAAGCCGGAGGCCCCCCCCCCCCACAATTTTTAACAATCTTTTCACAGACGCGTGAAAGACACTTTTCTACAATTTCTATATATGTGTTTATCTATCTATCAACCTGTCTGATTATGTAACTATCTAACTAACCATGTATATTGTATATGTGTTTATCTATCTATCAACCTGTCTGATTAATTATTATTTTATAAAACTACGAAAGCATGAAATCCAAGTTGTTATGCATATGCCTCCCAATGACAAAATTCGATTAATAGTTTTTTTTAACTTAGAACAGTTTTGATTTTTTAGCAACATTTCTCTTATTTTTTAATTGACATATTTTCTGAATTTTTAGATGAAGAATGATCGGTTGAGCGCAATCTGAGAAATCTTAAATGTGAAAATACCTGAGATATTTGCCTTCGCCTGGGAATATGTTCACAGTTCGCACATTCATCATCAAAACTCAGAATAATTTGTTTAAATGAACAGTTTACAGTAAACACTGTAGATTAGGGTTTACTACCCTAATCTTGAAAGTTTATAAGTGTGGAAACGAAAATAAATAATAATTCAATTAACAACGTGGAGCTGAAAAAAAACTTTGTGACGAAATATCAATGCTAGAAAAATATAAAAGTTTATATGAGAAGATTGAGTTGATGTTGAACCAGCTGTAGGATAATGATTGAGATACTTAAACTATATTCTCTACTGGTTCTAATCTCCAGGGTAGAATTAGGTAAACTACGTAGAATCATCAGCAATCATGATTATGTTAATATCACTCAAATAAACTATATTCTCTACTGGTTCTAATCTCCAGGGCAGAATTAGGTAAACTACGTAGAATCATCAGCAATCATGATTATGCTAATATCAATCAAATATTTGTCACTTTTTTGTCAAAAATTAAGATTTGAATGTTATTAAACAAAAATAAGTTTGTCAAAAATTTTTTTTAATTAAAATTTAATGCATATCGAGAAAAGAATATATCGGTTCACAAAAACAAATCTTACAGAAAAGGACGATCGACTCCCTGGAGCCTAAACCTTCTGTGTGAAATATTTTGTAGTGACGACTTTTGATCTCCTCTAGAAACGGTTAGACGGCAGCTCTGGAGAGTTTTGAAGGGATCAGGGGGTTTTAAAATTTAAAATGTTCAAAACAGACAAATAGCAAACAATTTTTCAAATTTTTTTAAAATCCCATCCATCCACCCTCATAAATCCTGAGATATGCTACTCCATCCTTCTAAACCCTGAGATCTGCCACTCCACCCTTCTAAATCCTGAGATCTGCCACTCCATCCTCCTAAACCCTGAGATCTGCCACTCCACCCTCCTAAATCCTGAGATTTGCCACTCCACCTTTTTAAAACCTGAGATCTGCAACTCCACCCTTCTAAACCCTGAGAGCTGCCACTCCACCCTCCAAAATCCTGAGATCTGCCACTCAACCCTTCTAGATCCCGAGATATGCCACTCCATCCTCCTAAACCCTGAGATCTGCCACTCCACTCTCCTAAATCATGAGATCTGCCACTCCACCCTTCTAAATCCTGAGATCTGCCACTCCACCCTTCTAAACCCTGAGATCTGCCACTCCACCCTTCTAAACTATTATATTTAGGCTTGAGTTATGAGTTCTATGATGACCTGTATTACGATCAGAATGGCTCGAACACACTAGAAGAGGGGCATGGAGGGAGGAGAGGGGACAAAGAACACCAGGATCCCGAACTTCACGTCGCCGTCCTTAGATATAGTTGCAAACCCTGGAGAGACAGTTAGATTCCCATGCACAGTGGACAAACTTCAGGTACAGGTGTATGTTCAAGTCAGATTACCCTGCAGTGGACAAACTTCAGGTATAGGTGTATGTTCAAGTCAGATTACCCTGCACAGTGGACAAACTTCAGGTATAGGTGTATATTCAAGTCAGATTATCCGTCACAATGGACCAACTTCAGGTATAGGTGTATATTCAAGTCAGATTCCACTGCACAGTGGACAAACTTCAGGTATAGGTGTATATTCAAGTCAGATTACCCTGCACAGTGGACAAACTTCAGGTATAGGTGTAAATTCAAGTCAGATTATTCAGCACAGTAGACCAACNTAAACATATACTAATATAAAACTGTTCACTCTCACGCGAGAAATCTTGCGCCTGTGTAGTCAGTCTGTAAACAGCTTCCAAAACTAGTTTTTCACATTACGTTCTGTACAGATCCGCAGGGAGAACTCAGAAACTCACAGGGGCATCAACTAGACTTTATACACGGAGCATGGCTCGCGTAACAAGGTGTATATTCAAGTCAGATTCCACTGCACAGTGAACAAACTTCAGGTATAGGTGTATATTCAATTCAGATTACCCTGCACAGTGAACAAACTTCAGGTATAGGTGTATATTCAAGTCAGATTACCCTGCACAGTGGACAAACTTCAGGTAAAGGTGTATATTCAAGTCAGATTATCCTGCACAGTGAACAAAATTCAAGTAAAGATGTATATTTAAGTCAGATTTCACTTTACAGTGGACAAACTTCAGGTAAAGGTGTATATTCAAGTCAGATTCCACTGCACAGTGAACAAACTTCAGGTAAAGATGTATATTAAAGTCAGATTGACCTCAGAGGCGTAAACCCCCCCCCCCCCAAAAAAAAAAATTAAATCTAATTTTCTTTACAGTTGACAAACTTAAGATAAAGGTGTGTATACATATATTTTTCCAATGTTAGATGACAAAATTTGTAAAGACAATTATAGAAAATTTAACTAGAGACATTCAGTATACCTTTATATATTATATATTCTCTAGTCTCAACATTCCTCTCAAATATCTTTCCACGCAGGTTTGAACGAATTCATTTGAGGAAAATTTACTTTTAAAGTGAAACAATATCATTAGAAATATTTTTAATAATCTAAATTACTAAATGCAATGAAAATAAAAAGGTTTAACGGCAAAATAAAAATAATGTTAACGTATTTTAATGATTTCTCTCATGTTTTGCAGTTAAAGTTTTTAAATTTTAATATTTTAATTTTTGGAATTAATAAAATGCATCTAAGTAAATTTGGCCGCTCAAAAATGTTTCTGAGTCCAAAAACGAAAACTACTTTTAGCAAAATTTTTATCTGGTTTTGATAAATCAATATGAAAGACTCTTATTCGTCGTTTATTTTTTGGAGATAGAGCAATACTTAAAAAAGGAACGATAGGTTTTTTTATATGTAGGGATGAAGGGTGGTAGGGGGGGGTGGGAGATTCTGGCGAAAGGGGAGAGGGGGGAGACAGATGAAATTTTGAATCATTTATTTGAAAGTTTAAATATTTCCCCCAAAGCTAAGTTTAATCTTTTTTTGATGAAACATCTATCTTCGTCTTTCCCCCGATCAATTTTCAGGTTTTATACATGCTTTATATATTCTAGCATTAAATCTTATAGAAAAACCCTCATTTCTTTTTTGTTAGATTTTCAAAACTTATTTTTAAAGATGCGACCAAACAAGATTGGCTGTTTGCAAAAAGTAAACAAAACTTTTCCAATAGATTTGCGTCATTTACATACCAACCTTTTCCAATAGATTTGCGTCATTTACATACCAACCTTTTCCAATAGATTTGCGTCATTTACATACCAACCTTTTCCAATAGATTTGCGTAATTTACATACCAACCTTTTGCTCAAACTCTGTACTTCATTAATATTAAAAATAATCTTTATTTTTTTTTAAATATTTTTTTCTTCTAAATGAAATTATCTTTTAAAGTTAAATTAAGATTTTTTACAGACAGTTAAAATATATAGAATACAGATGGGACGGATTTAGGACATATTCTGACTTTCTATTTATTTTTCTTCTTTCACACTTTGTTTATTATCATGTAAATCATATTCTAAACTAATATACAATACATAAGGAATATTGGCTATTATCATGTCCATCATATTCTAAACTAATATACAATACATAAGGAATATTGGCTATTATCGTGTCCATCATATTCTAAACTAATATACAATACATAAGGAATATTGGCTATTATCGTGTCCATCATATTCTAAACTAATATACAATACATAAGGAATATTGGCTATTATCGTGTCCATCATATTCTAAACTAATANGTCCATAATATTCTAAACTAAAATACAATAAATAATATTAGGATATTAACATGTCCATAATATGCTAAACTTAAATACAATAAATAATATTAGAATATTAACATGTCCATAATATTCTAAACTAAAATACAATAAATAATATTAGGATATTAACATGTCCATAATATGCTAAACTTAAATACAATAAATAATATTAGAATATTAACATGTCCATAATATTCTAAACTAAAATACAATAAATAATATTAGGATATTAACATGTCCATAATATGCTAAACTTAAATACAATAAATAATATTAGAATATTAACATGTCCATAATATTCTAAACTAAAATACAATAAATAATATTAGGATATTAACATGTCCATAATATGCTAAACTTAAATACAATAAATAATATTAGAATATTAACATGTCCATAATATTCTAAACTAAAATACAATAAATAATATTAGGATATTAACATGTCCATAATATGCTAAACTTAAATACAATAAATAATATTAGAATATTAACATGTCCATAATATTCTAAACTAAAATACAATAAATAATATTAGGATATTAACATGTCCATAATATGCTAAACTTAAATACAATAAATAATATTAGAATATTAACATGTCCATAATATTCTAAACTAAAATACAATAAATAATATTAGAATATTAACATTTCCATAATATGCTAAACTAAAATACAATTGATAATATTAGAATATTAACATGTTCTTATTATTCTACACTGAAATACAATAAATAATATTAGGATATTAACATCTCAATCATATTCTAAACTGAAATACAATTAATAATATAAGGATACTTTTTTAATTAAAATACAATATAGAATATTAGGATATTAACGTCTTATATATTTTAAACTAACAAACACCATATCGAAGAAGTTGTGTTTTTGATACATACTCTGATTTTCTAATCCTTATATCTTTGCAACCTAATGTCGTAAACCTAGTAGATATTTGAGTTTGTGGCAAACACTCAATTCCTTTGATAAATTGTAGTAGTTTTAGCTCAAAAGTACTTTTTTGAATAATAAATCTTTTTGAAATTTTAATATAATTATATAAATTTGTGTTATGTTAGGGACTACGTATTTACATACAAGAAACAAGTAACAACAGGCAATTGTAAGTTTAAAGCTTAAGTTTCAAATATTTCAGAAAAATATATTTGAAAAAGAAAACTAGAAACTAATATAGTGACAGCTAACAGACTGATAATGTAACCTGTGCTTTTTTACCTCAATAGTACTGTGATAGATATATACAACTTCACACGTTTAATTGTTGAAATACAGATAGATAATTTATAGAATTAATTATATATTTGATTATCATTTAATCTTTGTTATTTCCTATTAGTTCATACTAACTCAAAGTTATCCATTACATGTATCCCCCTTTCTTCTATGTGGTATCCATGTATCCCATGTTCTATGTGGTATCCATGTATCCTATGTTCTATGTGGTATCCATGTATCCTATGTTCTATGTGNTCCAATGTTCTATGGTGTATCAAGTGTATCTGTTGTTTTATTTCCCAGAAAACGAAACCTCTGAATAATATGTTGTAGGAACTAATTAAATGTATTCAGGGATTTGTGTTAATCTGGAAGAAAGGAGAAGATATAATCTGCCTTGGATCAACCCTTATCAATCATGTTAGTTCTTCAAATCTAAAGTTTTAGACCGATAAATGAATTGATTCTTTGCCACAAACTCTGATTTTATAATCCCTATATCTTTGCAACCCCATGTAGTAGATTGAATATGTTCCCCACTCTTTTTCGTAGTAAGAAAGCTAACTTTAAATTTATCCGAAAACCTTAAAAACTACCCAGGTTGGAGAGGAATTGATTCTTTGCCACAAACTCTTATTTTTTAATCCCTACATCTGGGCAACTGAATGTTGTGGACCTTAGATGTTTCAAACTATGAATTCTGTTAGATAAATAATATATGTTTGAAGTATCAAAGGTTTACATCACCAGTTTGAAAAGATAAAGGATGAGAAAATTTAAGTTTGTGGCAAAACTCAATTCCTTTATATTAAAAGAACTGCAGATTACTCGTTACTAGCTATAATTATTCTTATAATATTGCAATTTGATGTCGGGGAACTTTTTTTCATACTACTTTAGTTCTCCTAGATCTAATTTACACAGTTTGAAATATCAAAGGATTAAAAATAATATATCATATTGTAAATATATAGAATTAGACAATTTGAGTTTGCGATGAGCAATCAGTTTCTTTTTAAAAATAACTAGGACTTTAATACCTTCTGCTGCAAATAACCCAGTTCAATTTCAAAGGATTCAATTTTCTAATTTTTTCAGGCTGGAACTCATTATCTTATTGAAGTAGAAGAAGAAGGAATCAGTTTAGGAAATTTTAGCAAAGTCAAAATTTGGTTAAATGCTTATCAATCTCAAATTCTGTAAACTGCATCAAATGCCTAAACGGATGAGTTATTTAAAGAATGCTGCTCCCAAATCGTTTAATCCTATTTAACCTAACCTGTCCTAACCCGTCCTAGCTCGTCCTAACCCGTCCTAATCCTTCCTATCCGTTCTTTTAACCGAATATAACCTGTCCTAATCTGTTATATATATATATCTTGATCAACAAATAAACTGATGATCTAGATTTATCCTAGCGGTAATACTCACTGCTTTTCTTTATCATATTCTATACCATTATAACCCCCCCTCCCTTCCCTACATCCCCTTGTACAACCCCTTCTTCCCCTCCCCTCCCCCGTCCTAATACTGATATATGTTTAGCTTTAGAAAGGAATGCAATGTAATACAATGTATAAACCTCATCAGGTTCCTCCTTATAATCATCTATAATGCTGTTTCTGTGTACATATATATATATATATATATATAGATATATGTACATATACATATTTATTATGTAAAGGTGTAATGTATATGTATACTCCCCTTGGATACTGTATATATCATAAAGATTGAGACAATCAAGGTTCTAATGCAAGGAAAGTTGTTTCAAGGTGTACGCATCTGTTGTACTGCAGTAAACTGTCTCTGGGCGGTAATGTAAAAACAAGACGGATGTCGAAGTCTGACATGGGATCCATCTTTCACATAAAAAATCAATGAAATATTCTGGTCATAGGAATCTATTATGTGAATTATCAAAATTTAATGCTTTTAACTTCCTCGGATACTAAACGAACACTGATGCATCTATTCTTGTTTACAAATTCTGCCCAGAGAGAACTGGTTTTAATATATACGCAGAGTATAGCCCTAGACATGTACAACGGAATCGTTTATAGGTTCAGTTTGCAACGAGTGATTCTGATCAAACTTTACGTGAGAGCGTTAATAGTTTTAAGTATGTATTAAACTAGTTTTAATATACAACGCATTCAATAGTGTTTTGGAAAAAAAGAAAGAGTTCGTATTCAATGGACGGTGGTATTAGTTGCTGATAGGCTTAAGTTTTAGTCATTTATATCTATCTATTGAAATTTGAGCTAATTATTGAATAGATATTTCGAATATCTTAGAATGTGCTTTTTAAAATTAACATGTTGCCAATTATAGAATATGTTTTTCTATCTAATCTATTGATGTACTGACATTGAAAAAAACATTAACAATCCCTCCAGCCAAAAAAAATGGGCATTCTGTTAATTCCAAATAAACTGAATAAATAACATTTCTAAAATATTGATTGAATAGTTCTCCGTGGAGTATCGGAGAGGGATCAAGGAGAATATGTTTGCCAGGTAAATATTTGGAGTTATAAAACGAAACGCCCAATTACAAAACGCCCAATGCAACAAAAATCCCAATGAAACAAAATGCCTATTGCAAAACGCCCAATTACAAAACACCCAATTTTAAACGACGCCCAATGCAACAAAACGTCCAATGTTTCAAAATGTTTAATGTTACAAAAAGTCCACATTTTTTCAAGAAAATGGCAACTTTTCTGTTAAAGTTCCTTAAAGTCAGTTTTCTGGAGGTTCGCGCTGCGGCTATAGGTTCAAATTCATTTCATTTTGACGTGCATTTACAAGAGAATTCAGTGTTCAAGTTACATCTAAGAGTTATGAAAATAAATATCTTCACTTCGATTTGGGAATTCTAAAAATATTTTTTTTGTCTATAGCAATTGTTGAACACTGGAGAAACGACTATATTGGCATGGAAAACTTATAAGAAAAATAATACACACAAAATCTTCTCGACTTTTTTATTTCTATCGTTCTTCGGAATTTGGACGTTTTTTTGGATTTGGGGTCTTTTTTCACATTAAGCGTTTTGTAACATTGAGCGTTTGTAATTCTTCTGTTTTGTTATTGGGCGTTTTGTACCCACTCCAAATATTTCGATGCAAAAAAATCTGTGTAGGATTTAATATAATGTTCTAAATATTTTAGGTTTCTGCATATAAACCATCATTGATGAAGCATAAGCTTACAATTAGAACAAAACCAGTTATTCAGACAATACCTCAAGGCTCTGTAATAGTTAAGGTAGGTATCTGGTATTCTGTATCCTCTGTCCGGTATCCTGTATCCTGTATCATGTTTCCTGTATCCTGTATTTTGTATTCTGTATCCTGTATTTTGTATTCTGTATCCTGTATTTTGTATTCTGTATCCTGTATCAATTATCGTATATTCTGTATTCTATGTTTTGAGTTCTGAATTCTGTATTTTGAATACTGTATCCTGTATTATGTATCCTGCTTCCTTTTCCTTGTATCCTGTATCTTGTATCTTGTATCCTAGGAAGGAACTAATGTATCCCTACTGTGTACTGTACTATCTGGATCTCCGTACCCTAGTCTAACCTGGAGAAAGAAAGGAGATGAAACCCACCTGGAAACTGAGGTAAAAAACAACAAATATTAAAACTGAGTTCAAACTTTAGTTTTTTCAATCTCTGGATCAAGTAATAATCCGTATCTTTTGGTGTACAAGGATCAAATTTATTAGTTTCTGAAATCTTGTGGCTTCAGAACACATGGAAGCGATAACAAAAATTGATCAAGGACATTATCCAGAAAATAAAAGATGTCACAGTGGATCTCGAGAATATAGTACCATTTCACACAAAAGTTTTAACCTATAAACAGTTTATCTACATTTTACTTTATCTATATCTATATAAAGTTGTAATCTCTGTTTGTTTGTATGTCCAATCATAACAAAACTTAAAAGTGATACAAGTATTGCGTATAACTACTATTTGCGTACGAATATTTTCACAAAGAAACAAAGAATGCAAAGTCGTTATTTTTTTTTGAAACATTACCTATATATATATAAAGAAGTAGACTCTGTTTTTATTGTCCAATCATAACTCATGAACCCTTTCGTCGATTATCCTTACATTTTGATTAGGAAACTAGGTAAAACTATAAAAAGAGTAGGTTCCAGGCAAAGCTGGGTCCCCAAGCTAGTATGTTATAAAATTTTAACACTAAGTTAGCCCAACAGTTCAGGAAAGGATTTTGTTTAATCATTTAAACATAAAAAATGTTGATGAAAATTATTATTCCTAGAGAATGATGAAGATGGATATTTGTTTGTTTAGAATGTTGGTGAGCTGGTGCTGAGGATGGTGTCCCGGCATGATAAAGGATTGTACACATGTACAGCTTCAAACGGATACTCTGGAGACCCTGTTGTACAATCTGTAGAGCTTTATGTACAATGTAAGTTTTGGTCTTGAAAAAATACAAAATGAAAAGAACGTTTTCAGTTGTATTTCAAGATTCTTTTCAACAAAATTTACAGGATCTAATACTTCAATAATAACCTAAACTTTATAATTTCTAATATCATAAATTAAATTCCGGCACTAAGAATTTATATTTAAATCTAAATTTTCCTTTATTGAATTAATTAAACAATAAAATAATCTGTTTCATGTGTATTTTCATTTTGCAACAAAGCAGAGCAAAGTGCATCAACTGTAAATAGTTTAAACTTTCAGGAGACGCTTGAAACATTAAATGTGTCATTGTTGACTTTTATCAGTGCTTAACTCTACATTTGTCCTGGCCTGAACATCTAATATTTAAAACTTTATTATATGTATATTAAAATGTTTTAGAACCAGTTAGACTACAGGCTTGTTGTGTAAAAACATATTGTTCAAAGTTTTGCCTTTCTTGTTTTTGAGATTTGAATAAAGGTTCTAAGACAAGAGTAAAGACACAGTAAAAGATTAAATACTTAATTTCATATTGTTACAGCTCCATTTTTTCTTTACATTTTACTGAGATTATTTTCATTTATAGTTGCTTGAAAAAGGCATAATCTTTTAACATAAACAAACCAAACCAAATGCATTATCTATGATTTGTATTCAACTGTACGTCACTAGAATGTCGTCGTTGAAAACATTAGTTACAAATAAGCATATAATTTGGAAACCCTTTGTTTAGACGCTCCAGAGCTATCCATTGATGAGATTCATATGCCAGCTAGTGAACGGGATGATGTAGTAGAAGGAGAAGAAGGAGAAGACAGGGAAGAGGGTGAAGAAGATGATATAAGGATAGAACTAGTCTGTCGTGTCTCATCCTTTCCGTCTGCCATTGTTACCTGGAGTAAACTAACCAGCCAGCAACCCGAGATAATACCTGCATACAGTCAGAGTATAGGATCTATAGATAGGTTTGTATATCCAGTATACAGTCAGAGTATAGGATCTATAGATAGGTTTGTATATCCAGTATATAGTCAGAGTATAGATCTTTAGATAGGTTTGTATATCCAGTATATAGTCAAAGTATGGAATGGATAAACTCTACAAGTACTTTTTTCTTGGGTATAATACTAAAAACCTGGATAGAAACCTTATGGGAACCTAACTCTTGTATCCTAGGTATACTATATACCTTAATATCAACTCTATGGGAACCTAACCCTTGTATCCTAGGTATACTATATACCTGGATATCAACTCTATGGGAACCTAACCCTTGTATCCTAGGTATACTATATACCTGGATATCAACTCTATGGGAACCTATGCCTGTCAAGCAACAAATGAAGTTGGTTCAACTCAAAAACAAATTCTTCTTGCAGGTACAATATCAGATTTGTTATTTTTATATCATAATTAGTTGAAAAAAGACCAAATAAGTTTATTATCAGCTTTATTTGTTTTAATTTGAATTTAGAATTTGCCTTGAGCGAGAAACCAATAGAACTGGATTCCAATCCAAGAAAAGAGAAACATGATTATGCAGGACGTCATGGAGGCGGTCGAAGGGTTGGACCAGGAGGTCGTCATCGAGGTGCTGGGCATCCAGAGGGTGGGGAGGCAAGTCATGCAGGAAGCCATTCAAGGATAAACTCCGGTTGGATTATTGATACTCACAGAAAAAGGATCACCGTAACATCAGTTTCAGGTAATCCATACAGAGGGACCATATTAAAAAATATGCTCAAAAATGCTAATTTTTGGCAATGTTTTTCTGGAAATAGCGAGCACTTGCACTTTATGCAATTGTCACCTGGTTCCCTAAGGCACACAATTTTTAGCTAGAATTATAAGGATATCTCCATCTGCATCCCTAAATCAGTTTTCATCGAAATGTTTTATTTTTTATAATTTCTGATCTTCTGAAATACTATAAAATCAATTTAAAAATCATTTTATACAATTTTTAAAAATTTTTAAAGCATGAATAGATAAGCTGATCACAATAATGATCAATAAATTCTTTGATGCGTGATACATAGTTTGTTTTCAAATATCTAAAAATTTCTAATCAAAAAATGGCACTATAGAAAAAAGGAACTTAAACTTTAAACTTAAATATAGAATATATCATCGTTTTTCCAGCTGAAAATGTATTTAAATCTGACAACATGTTTTATGGTTGCAGCAGAAATGTACAGACCGCTTAAAGGGACTGTAAAGGAAAAATGAAAGGGGGTATAGGCTGAAAGCGAATCACTTTAGCTCTTGATCGCGACCCATGAAAGTTTTATCTGATGTTCCTGTCTCGAGAAATTGATTTTAAACTGTGTTAAAATTATACGAAAGTTCATATATGTAAAATTTAGAAAATCTTAAACTTAAATCACGTGACCAGAACTATCACCAATTGCAGAGCAGTATACTGATCACGTGTCTCCGCCTGTATCACGTGACCACTTTACTGCACTGCCATTGGTGGAACTTCTGGTCAAGTAATACGGAAGTATAAATAATATTATGAATTAAATCTATTAAAAATAGAAATAACAAATATGAAATTAGAATTGGAGTACACCTAAGTTACAATTAGCTTTCTCTGGGATATCATAGTTTTCAGATTGGTTGCATATTTGCTGAATTTGATCTATTTAAACCCTCTACTTTTATACAAAATTGTATATATATTAATTTTCGTATAAATTTAACACAGTTGTATATCATTTTCTCGAGATAGGAACATCAGATATAACTTTCATGGGTCGCGATCAAGAGCTAAAGTGACTAGCTTTCAGCCTATACCCCCTTTCATTTTTCCTTTACAGTCCCTTTAATAAAGAAACCAGAATTAAAAATAATCAATTTTCATAGAGAAAGTTATCCACATCCCATGCATGCTTAATCGGACAAGACTTTAAAACGTGCCGATGTGAATCTATCATGCTATTTTATAAATGGAGAGATACTTGAAATAACGTGAAATGAATCACAATATCTTTATGAATGTTTTCAATTATGATTCTATTTTATTTCTAGAAGGTGTGCTGGATGATACCAATGTTCCCTTGTATAGTGGCGGCCCTCCTGGAAAATATGAGTTTAATATAACCTACTCTACCCTCTGTATGATTCTATTTTATTACTAGAAGGTGTGCTGGATGATACCAATGTTCCTTTGTATAGCGGCGGTACTCCTGGAAAATATGAGTTTAATATAACCTACTCTACCCTCTTTATGATTCTATTTTATTACTAGAAGGTGGGCTAGATGATTCCAATGTTCCTTTGTATAGCGGCGGCCCTCCTGGAAAATATGAGTTTAATTTAACCTACTCTACCCTCTGTATGATTCTATTTTATTACTAGAAGGTGTGCTGGATGATACCAATGTTCCTTTGTATAGCGGCGGCCCTCCTGCAAAATATGAGTTTATTTTAACCTACTCTACCCTCTGTATGATTCTATTTTATTACTAGAAGGTGTGCTGGATGATACCAATGTTCCCTCGTATAGTGGCGGCCCTCCTGGAAAATATGAGTTTAATATAACCTACTCTACCCTCTGTATGATTCTATTTTATTTCTAGAAGGTGTGCTGGATGATACCAATGTTCCCTTGTATAGTGGCGGCCCTCCTGGAAAATATGAGTTTAATTTAACCTACTCTACCCTCTGTATGATTATTCTCTTGTGTTGTGTAGTTTAATCTTCTTCAATTGTATTCATGGTATTATAATAATTCAGCCTGAACAGAAACCATTGTATTTATGTGTTTACAGTATATACAGTATACACACACTAAACATAAATTGTAATTTTGAAATATTAATAAAAAGAATCTCAATCCTTTAAAACTAAATAATTGTTAGTCTATTGTTATTGTGTGCAACTACATATAACATGTTATAATACTTATCCAGGGTGTCCCAAGAGGGAGGGGATGCAGGGCCGCCATGAGCCTCGTAAAATTAACTCCGGAGCCTCCGATACGCCGAATGTCCTTTAAGCCCGGCAAAACTGTCTCCGCGTTTCTCTCTACCTCGCCAAGCCTCCGACATTCTGTCTCCGTGCCTAGCATTTTGGTCTCCAATAATAGATATTTGGCTTTTACGTGCACAAAAAAAAATTTCGAATAATCTCAACATGATAAAATAGTTTCTAATGGTAAATAAACAATTTGTTTTGAAAAATATATTTAATTGAGATTAAGACTTTTATTAAATTTCGCAAATTCCTTAACTTGTGAATAACTATTACAGTTTTATAGAAAGATAGATTTATATTATTTTACAGATGTATCTTTTGCGAATCAAACTATATTAGCACCTATTCACAAACAAAATGTTTTTGAACTTGTACTTTAATTTTATGCTTTTTGTAAAGTTTAAAAAAAAACTTAAGATTTATTGTATAAATTAATATTTGAACTTTGTGGATTAAACGATTCTTTAAACTATTGTGGATTCTACAATATAGAGATGAATTCTGATTTTTGGCATGGTTAAGCCATAAAAGGTAAATCTAAAATAAATACAGCAGACGGAGATCAAATACGGAGGCCTGGAGACGTAGCAAGAGGCATGAAAACGGTTTTGCGGGGCTTGGAGGTGATTCTGCTACACCCCCTCCCTCGTTCCAAAAACATAGGAATTGAGTAACGCCGTTGAGTTTTAATTCACATTTGTACGCTTAAACATTGTATGTTAAAGGGAGTGACTGGCTAGTTTGGTAACTGAACTGAGAGGGCAGTAGTGTAGAATAAATATAAGGATTCATTTAATACCTATAGAATGTTTTATTATTACTACATAATCATGGGACTGGATAATTTTGAGGTTTGCTTTTATAGATTCGATTTTTTTAAAATTATTTAACAACGCGGCTGAAAAAAGGAACAATAATTTTGCTATAAACTAATCTCAAGTTTATAGAAACAGGTTGAGAAAACTGTTGCTTTCGATCACAATTGGACCCTATTAATCATAATCGTTTCGTATTTTCTCTTTTTTACTTTTTTTGTCTGCATATGCATGTTTTAAGCGAAATAAAATATAAAAAGACATCTTCGTTATTTTAAAGATAGTTGAATCAATTGATTGGATTCAAATAGAAGCAACCGAATGCATCTCGAACTGGTTTGTTCGAGGTAAGTCATCTGTTTCTGTAATATTCGATTCTTATCAAAAACGTTTTCCATAGATTTCCTTGATTGCAAAGACTTCATTTGATGAGTTGGCGAAAAAATTCATAGAAAATATTGATATATAAGATAATTATAGTAAATTATCCAGCTTCGCGATTTTTTAAGTACGAGTTTTTGGTTTAAAGAATGTAAAACTGTTTTATAGATATCTAATGAATCCTGATATTTTTATATAATTAAGCTCTTCGCTCATATATATTTGTTTGTATTTAGCTTATAGCTGGCCAAACGGCTGGACCGAATGCACTGACATTTTTTTAGGGAACCCATGGGTGCCCGGGAAGGAACAGGTGCTACACCGCAACGGGATCTTCAGCTAGTTTTATATAATACTGCACTCGGAGTTCAATTACCATACTAAGCAGTAGCTTCAGTCACCTAAAAGAGTTTTATTTGGGAAATCTTTATTTATGTTTTTCTATTGGAAATTTTCAACATATTTCCAGAAGCCACTCATTGATTTCGATTTGTTTAGAAAAATACGAACCGGAAACAAAATGTACTAATAATTACCAAGCGAGCGTTGCTTTAAAACGGAATAACACTTTTTCATTCCTAAGGTCGCATTAGATTACAATTTTGAATCATGAATTTAGAGAAATCTGAGAATTTAAAGAATTTGAGACTCGACATAAATTTGAGACGCAGCGTATATATGATTGTTTCCACTTAAAATTGTATTCAATGTTTCAAGATTTAAGCCGCAGCGCTCAATTGAAAAAGGTTTTTAGTGGATTTGAGACACGGCTTAAATTCAATAAATTCGGTCTCTCCTGTATAACAGTACCGGTATCAAGTCACTTTGGGACCAGACCTTGACTGGTTTTCTTTATTCAAAACATTTTCCTAGTTGAAAGCTCATAACCAAATGAGTTGCGTTTGAAAAAATACAAGATTTTTCATGAATATAAATTCACATATTACTGTTAACATAAACTCATGTTGTATAGATAACGTTAAAAACCAAATGTTGTATGAGTATGCGAAAAGTGTGATGTTTAAAAGGTTGACACATATTTCCGTCTAATATTGTAAACTAATTAGCAAAGCTTTGAGTTTTGACATTTAGAAAACATTTGTATAAACATTTAAGATTGCGCATACAAAATTATTTTTAAATTGAATTATGTTTACAGATCTTATTCATTGACAAAGCTTTATTATTTCTCGCAATTAATCCCGCGGTAGTAAATGAGAAATAATATTGAAGTATCAAACAATCAAACATTTCATCGTCGTTATTTTGGTCTTGAAATAAAAAAAAAATATTATAAAAATTTGATAATTCTATTCCGTAAAAAGTTTTCAGATAAAAATTATCACTTTATGTTTTTTTTACGGAGTTTGTTCTTCAGAAGCTTGTATTTCACTTTCAGAGATATGCTTTTATGTTTTTTGTCTTTCTGCGGTTTTTCTTTTGGAGCTTATCTTTCTGTAGCTTATCTTTCTGGAGCTTATCTTTCTGTCTGTAGCTTATCTTTCTGGAGCTTATCTTTCTGGAGCTTATCTTTCTGGAGCTTATCTTTCTGGAGCTTATCTTTCTGGAGCTTATCTTTCTGTAGCTTATCTTTCTGTAGCTTATCTTTCTGGAGCCTATCTTTCTGGAGCCTAGCTTTCTGTAGCTTATCTTTTTGGAGCCTAGCTTTCTGTAGCTTATCTTTCTGTAGCTTATCTTTTTGGAGCTTATCTTTCTGTAGCTTATCTTTCTGGAGCTTATCTTTCTGGAGATTTATTTTCCTGGTTTGGTTTTATCCAAGAAAAAATTAAGTGAAAATTCGGAATCATATAAAAGGATTAGAAAATTTGAGTTTGTGACAAAATTAGTTTGTTTCATAAAATAAGAAATTTTAAATTACATTCCAATAGCGATATTCTAAAATCAAAATTCTCTAATATTAAAAAAACGTTCCGGTCATTTAATGTGGGGCTATAAGGGATAAGGCTGGAATAAAAGGGGAGCCCCCCCCCCCCCCCCGACCCTTATCTTATGATGAACATGACCGGAAAGTTTTTGACCGGAGCTCCGGTATAAAATCAGATGAAATTGATCAGGATCAATCAGTTTAGAATTAAGTTTACTCTGGAAACATATTAAACATGATCCTCCTCCTACTCATCCTACTTCTCCAACCTGTCTCAGGGAAAGCCGAACAACTTGAAGATCTGCTTCAGGACACAGTTCTTCTTCAGAAATGTCCGCTTGTGTGCAGAGATCTTGGAGGGAGAGATTTTACCGAATGCATGAACACATGTGTCCTGGGTGACAAATATCTGTGTGGACTGGAGAACTGTGGATTAGGTTGTTTGACAGCTTGCTTCTCTAGTCCCCAGACGGAGTCTTATATTTACAGGTTGGATATCCACGATTGTTTTGTATCCTGGGAAACAACCGGAGACAGTGATTGTATCCTTGTCGGAGAAGATGTCCAGGGAACATACAATATCCTTTATCAAGGAGATATAAAGAACTATTTGTTTCAAGACAACAACGAAGAGAAATGGAGAAGTATTATCTTGTTTCTAGTTGGAAAAACAGGGTTGGAAGATAAACGAACTATTCAGTTCAAGCATCCGTTGAACTGCAATTCAGAGATGAATGAGCAGACATCTTTGCTGCTTACACAAGAAAAGCAGCCAATCAGAAGCATCCGTCTACAAGGATTACTGCTTACTTCAGTAATCTGTATTATTATCATCTCTATGATTTCTATAATATTGGTTTGGATTAGAGCATCACTCATAGCACAACAACAACAAGTGCGAAATCGCCAAGTGCCAACTCAGGACCTACGTGCACCAACTCAATCTAAAATTCCACCCAAACTCCATCCTATTCCATCGTTATCTGATCGAGTAAACTGTTGTCAACATCTTTCGATATTAGTGGATCCAGTCACAATTTTGATTCCAGGACCAGCTCTTGGACCAGCTCCAGTTTCAGCTCCAGGACCAGCCCCAGAAGCAGTTCTACGTTCAGCTCCAGGATCAGGCCGCCCAGGTTCAGCTCCAAAAACATCCCTAGGTTCAGCTCCAGGATCAGGCCCTGTTTCAGCTCCAGGATCAGGCCCAGGTTCAGCTCAAGGTTCAGCTCAAATTTCGATTTCATCACAGGAAAAAAAGAAGCCCTCTGTATCCACAGTATTCACTTATATACGGATTGAAGATATTAAAATATACGAGGATTTTAGTTTGACAAAATATAATAATCTTTGTTCACAATTTGATTCAGTTTCTGAATAAATTTCAAGAAATAATTTCGATTCTGTTTTTCATAAATCTGTAATAATACAAACGATGTTAGGTACTTTTCCAAAGAATTTTTCCCAAGTGGCTACTTCCAAAGGGTATTTCCCGAAGTGGCTACTTCCCAATTGTGCAATTTCCCAAACGGTGACTTTTCAAATATGCCCTAGCCGCAGCGCTTCCCCCCCCCCCAGCCTTTTCTAGCAACGGCGCTCCGCCCCCTAGCCCATCCTGGCATCAGCGCTTGACCCCATTGCAGCCTGAGGCGCCTCAGAGGGCCTAACCTAACCCTTGGGAAGTTGCCACTTGGGAAATTGTTAACTGGGAAGTCGCCCTTGGGAAAATACCTAACACCGTACAAACCTTATCTACAATAATGTTGATACAGAGAAAATATAGAACAAAGAGTTAGAAGTACGAACATTTGTTTTATATTACTATGCAATTCATCAAAAGCAAATTACTAAGGTATAAAAATAAACATCAACTATTGGGAGCAGACCCACCTTGCAGTGTCGCTAAGCTATACCCCTTGTTATAATTTTAGTAATGAACAGTTTTTTTGACGTAATACCATTTTTTTGTTAGCTAGGTTTTGCAATAAACCGAGATATGCAATGAAGATGGTTCTTTTTCAAATAAGAAAATTCTTGATAGAATTCTAGATTCAAGCTGCTAAAGAAATTGAGTCTCCGCCACAAACTCAAATAATCTAATCCCAATATTTTAGCTACCTGATGGTTAAACTATTTATATTTCAAACTTAGATTATTTGATAAAGCAAAACTCATAGTTTGATTTATCTAAGGTTACAACCAAATTAGAGTTAGTGACTCAATTGCTAAACTCGTTTTCATTCAATAGGCCGAAACTAGTACTATTTTGTTCTATATCTGGATATATCCTCAGTTTTAAATATCTATTTATTAATTTGGCTTGACTGTATGTTATAAACGTCAAAACGTCTGGAAGGACAGATCGGGTTCAAGATATTTGTTAAAACTCTCATGACCCCAGCGAAGGTTTTGGGACGGTCAAATTTGAAAATTGGAAGGAGAAAAAGATACTTTTGAGGTTGAAATGATAGAAAGATACACTGAGGTTGGAATGATAGATAGATAGATACACTGAGGTTGAAACGATAGATAGATAGATACACTGAGGTTGAAACGATAGATAGATAGATACACTGACGTTGGAAGACAGATAGATAGATACACTGAAGTTGGAAGGATAGATAGATAAATACACTGAGGTTGGAAGGATAGACAGATACACTGAGGTTAAAACGATAGATAAATACACTGAGGTTGGAATGATATATAGATACACTGAGGTTGGAAGGATAGAAAGAAAGATACACTCAGGTTGGAAGGATAGAAAGAAAGATACACTGAGGTTGGAAAATAGATAGATACACTGAGGTTGGAATGATATATAGATACACTGAGGTTGGAAGATAGATAGATACACTCAGGTTGGAATGATATATAAATACACTGAGGTTGGAAGGACATATAGATACACTGAGGTTGGAAGGATATATAGATACACTGAGGTTGGAAGGATATATAGATACACTGAGGTTGGAAGGATATATAGATACACTGAGGTTGGAAGATATATAGATACACTGAGGTTGGAAGGATATATAGATTCACTGAGGTTGGAATGATATATAGATACACTGAGGTTGGAAGGATATATAGATACACTGAGGTTGGAAGATATATAGATACACTGAGGTTGGAAGGATATATAGATTCACTGAGGTTGGAATGATATATAGATACACTGAGGTTGGAAGGATAGATAGATACACTGAGGTTGGAAGGATAGAAAGAAAGATACACTGAGGTTGGAAGGATAGATAGACACACTCAGGTTGGAAGATAGATAGATACACTCAGGTTGGAAGGATAGAAAGAAAGATACACTGAGGTTGGAAGGATAGATAGACACACTGAGGTTTGAAGGATAGAAAGATACACTGAAGTTGGAATAATAGATAGATACACTGACGTTGGAAGGATATACAGATACACTGAGGTTGAAAGGATAGATAGATACACTGAGGTTGGAAGGATATACAGATACACTGAGGTTGGAAGGATAGATAGATACACTGAGGTTGAAAGGATAGATAGATACACTGAGGTTGGAAGGATAAATAGATATGCTCAGGTTGAAATGATAGATAGATCCACTGAGGTTAAAAGCATAGATAGATAGATACACTCAGGTTGGAAGATAGATAGATACACTCAGGTTGAAAGATATTGATACACTGAGGTTGGAAGATAGATAGATACACTGAGGTTGGAATGATAGAAAGATACCGGAGGATCTAAGATTAAAACCAGCTGCTACCAGCTGAACAGTTTATAAAATTAATACTCAAGAAAACAGTGTACACTATAAACTGAAAAAAACATCCCCCTACCTTGAACCCATGACAAATATTAATCATGGCCGAATATGATATTCAATCAGAATTTATCATCTCCAGGCTTTTCTCAGAGGTAATGTTAATTATATTTTAACTTTAGTTTAATAATATTCAATTAAATAAATACCATATGATTATTTGTTAAAACATGCCGGTCTATAATAGAGAATTTTGAACAGGGGCAGTACGCGCATGTACTGCAGCGAATATTTATGTACCTGGACGGTACAAGTCTTCACTCTGCTGGACTTGTAAGCAAAGGCTGGAGAGAATTCATCAAACAGGAGGTGTGGAAAATATGTATATATTAAAGAAATATTATATTTTTAACTTAATTTAAAGTTTTTTCGTTTTTCATTTAAAAGGTTACCCTTTATCTCAATATAGCAACAATGAGAAGGATTATTTAACTCATTTAAAGAAAGAAAAAATCTGTCAATTTTCATTCTTTTCTGTGCAAGTCACATTGATTTAAATTTCACAATTGTAAATTTTCGTTCGAAACAAACAATTAAGGAAATCTCTATTGCTATTTTGCTCAGCTAAAACCGGTTTTGAACGCAGTTGACATCCCTTTAAATGATTGTCCAATTCTGGACAGAAGCCAAAAGGAGTTATGCGCATGCCCCGTTGAATTACAAGACATTGAGAGAACCTGTTCTAGCCGCGGCGCTCGGCCCCCTAGCCTGTCTTAGTCATAACGCTCGGACTTCTAGACTGTCCTAGCCGCAGCGCTCCGACTATAAAGTGTATTAAGCTAACCTAACGCTAAATATATACTAATCTCCCTTTTTCCTTTAATTCAACGCGACAAGCGCGCGTAACTTCTTGAGGCAACTTTTAATTCTAACTAATTCCATTTCCTAATCTTCTTTAGGTGTGGGGTTCAGCGTATGCCCGGAAATGGTTCTGGAAAGGATGGAGATTAGGTGTTCCTGCAACTCGACGCCTGGAGCTCGGAACAGAATCCTGTACAATGATCGCGGATCCAGAAACAATAGTCTGCGGACTTTCAGATGGAAGAGTTGATGTTTATAGTCGGAATACTCTCACGAGGTCATCGTTAATCAAGCAACATTTTTAACATTACTTTTAAAAACTAATTAAAAAATATATATTCTAGAATATCTCTACTGTCTGGGCATGTAGACTGTATAACTACTCTTAGTATGGATACAAGGTAAATGTAGAGATATGTATCGTTTTTGTGAACGAACAAATTTTGTGAACGAAGGTCTCGTTCAGAAAAGAAAAAGTAAACGATGGACATATCACTTAGATCGTTAAGGGAAAGGATAAAAAAATCATTGTTTGAAAATGAAAGATCTTGAAAAACTGTCTTTTTTTACTGACCGAACGAATTTTGAAAAAAAGGATTTTATTTCCGGAACGAACGATTTTACTTAACGAACGTTAAGTGAGAAATCGAACCAAATGGATGGAAAAGTTATGATTTTATATAGTTCAATTAACAAGTAACATCTTTACTAAAGTTCTTTTCCTGTTCCACCGTTTAATGGGTCCCACTGTAATAAAAATAACAAAAATTAATTTCCGCAAAGGTTAGTTAATTAATAATAATGGCTTAAAACATTTTTATTAAAAGTGAATATTTGCAAATTATATTTTTTCCATCCCATAATCTGAGTTCGTTTCCCTTATGTCCATTTGACAGCCCAAATTTTTATTTTGAATTATCTTTTTTGTTTGTTTATTTTCTTGGGATTTTTAACAAAATTTTTTTATTTTCTTTTATCGATTTTGATGGTTATTATATCTGTATAACTAACGAGGGTCAACCCAGACCGAAATACATTTTTAATAAATGTGGAACTAACATCTACTTTTTTTACTCTACAGAGGTTTGGTCCATCACCATCACCGAATTTTAAAATAAATTATAAGGGTATTTTCTTTTACTGTATTTGATTCCTGGCTCTTTTTTCAATTAGCATGTTTTATGAGAATAAGAATATAGTTTGTGTTGCCTAATAAATCAAGGTGTGAGCTGAATAGAATTAAAATGGGACGACAAATTAAACAGAACCTTGACATAACTCCTTGATTTCAGGTTGATTGTGAGCGGATCCTGGGATGGGAAAATCAAGATCTGGTGTAGAGTCAGCTCAGAGTGTCTCTTTACAATACCAAGCGGGGTAAGTAACCAACTAGATTTTTTTAATGGAGAGGTTGGTTGGTTTTGAAAAACAGGAAAATGTTTAAACGTTAAAAGAAAACTCGTTATTTGATAATACATAAATAAAAATTCCAAGCAAATGATTTTAGTCTTTGTCACAAACTTAAATTTTCTAATCTTTGCAACCCGATGATGTAAACCATTGATATTTAAAGCTCCAATTATTTGATCTAACAGAATTCATGGTCTGAAATATCTAAGGTCTGCGAAATTAAGTTTAAAAGATACAGGGATTGGAAAATCGGAACTTGTGGCAAAGACTCATGCTTCCTGCTTTAAAGAAAAACTTGAAATCATATTTTTAACAATATACTATTTTTTGGGACAAATCTTCGCATATGATGTACTTGCTTTGAAATAATCATATCGATTTTTATTTTTAGAAGGGTTGTAAGATATGCAAGGTACACTTGGATAGTCCCCTGGATCAAGGAGCTGGACTTATCAGACAACTACTCTACGTTACAACCAGGTATACTTGGATAGTCCACAGGATCAAGGAACTGGACTTATCAGACAACTACTCTACGTTACAAACAGGTATACTTGGATAGTCCCCTGGATCAAGGAGCTGGACTTATCAGACAACTACTCTACATTACAACCAGGTATACGTGGATATTCCCCTGGATCAAGGAGCTGGACTTATACCTGGATTCTTATGTTTTAATGAATTTTCTCGGAAGTGACAATCTAGGTCTTTTTCGTCAAAAGTGTATTTAATGTCTGATCGCAAAAGTAAAATCGTAATAAAAAGCAAGAGTTTACTTTATACTGCATTTTGCTTGTTCAACAAACAACGCCATCTTTCCGAAAATAAAAGGGAATTGGAAAAATTATTTTAAATTGTAACCAAGGTTTTAGATTCTTGATTTAGGAATGGTAAAGTGATGAGGTACGCCCTGCTTGCTTCTCAACCTACAAAAAACGATCCAAGTATCAAGGTAGGCTCCTGTACTGCACAATGTAAACTGCAGTGTACTGTACTGTACTGTACTGTACTGTACTGTACTGTACTGTACTGTACTGTACTGTACTGTACTGTACTGTACTGTACTGTACTGTACTTACTGTATTGTACTGTACTGTACTGTTCTGTACTGTACTGTACTGTAATGTATTGTACTGTACTGTACTGTACTGTACTGTACTGTACTGTACTGTACTGTACACTACTGTACTGTAATGTACTGTACTGTACTGTACTGTACTGTACTGTAATGTATTGTACTGTACTGTACTGTACTGTACTGTACTGTACTGTACTGTACTGTACACTACTGTACTGTAATGTACTGTACTGTACTTTAATGTACTGTACTGTACTGTAATGTACTGTACTGTAATGTACTGTACTGTAATGTACTTCACTGTACTTTACTGTAATGTACTGTACTGTACTTCACTGTACTTTACTGTATTGTACTGTATTGTATTTGCTGTTGTGCAGTGTACTTTACTTTAATATACTGCTCGAGCACTGTATTCTGTATATTTCACCCCAAACTAAGCTTTCGTTGCCTACTGCAGTGATATGCAGTACACTGACCGAAGAAGTATTGTTTTTAATTTTTAGTTGGAGTGATTTATCTCCAATAGAATAGAACTAGAAATGGATTTTTCATGTTTTCAATATTTTTTCGTTTTTATCATAAAACCCAATTTTTTAGTTAATCCGCGAACCACAGGTTGAGAGTTTTAAACTAGAACATGATGATCCTGTCAGCTGTTGTGAAGTTGGTGTAAACCATATTCTAGTTGGATCAACCAATTCTATGGTAAGTATTCAGAATAATTTCATTTAGCCTTTTTTTTGATCATTTACAAATTTATACTCAAGGTTTTTAGGAGTAGAATAAATAAAAAAGTGTTTCCGTTGCAATACAGTGAGAACCAGTTGAATAGCAAGACGACATTTAATCAATAATTAAGTGCATTCCAGGGTGTTACAAAGTAAATAGTTTTACAAGTAACTTTTCCCATCACTCATTAATTAAAATTGGTCTGTTTACACTGCACAACTGCTGTGTCTTACGTTCAATGGAATATTAAAAGTCATAACTTGAGTCAAAAAGTCGTCTTTCTATTCCAAAGTTTTATAGTTAGTACTGTATAAACAATATGGAAGAAACTCAATTTATGCTCCATCATCATCCATTAAAGAGTAATAAAACATACTTGTTTAACTAACTACTTAAAGGGAGTGACCGGCAATGTATGGTAGTTGAACTTTTGTTCGCAGATTTCTTCAAATTCTCAAAATGTCGTCTTTTCGATAAAAATTGCAGGAAATCTACGAAAAATGTTTGTGAAAAATGAGACATTACAGAAGCTAATAACTGAATAAGATTAGTTGTTTTCGATAATAAGAGTTAAATTTTATTTTCTCAATTTGTACCTAAACCTATTAGTTTACTGTTAAATTTTTTTTACATTTTTATGTGATCGTCATTGAATCTTTTAAAAAAAAAATTAGGTTTTTTAAGATTGAATTTGCACTCTTGCTGAACTAATATGCACCGTAAAAACGTCTGATAGGTCTCAAATTAATCATAAAAAATTACTCCACAATACTACATTCTCAGTTCAACTACCATACATCTTTAAACAGATTTCAAAACTGATTCCGTAGCAATTCTTTCTTCGGAAAATTTTCAAATTAAAGTAAAAAAATCTAATATTACATGCTGCATAGAAGTACCAGGATTGAGACAAAATTGCAATACTAAAACTAGTTGAAGTTTGGTTTGAAATATAGATTTTTATATTTGTTTAGATCTATCTATGGGATAAACGTCGGGAGGCAAAACTGAAAACCTTGAAGAGACATAAGGTACATTTAAGATCATGGAGGTCAGAACTTGTGGAATTTTTCGCCAATCTACATCTTTTCATCTCGATATTCACAGTTGAAACTTTTGAATTGGAAGGTTAAGTGCGTGATGTCTTTTAATTGGATCAAGAGCTAAAGTGATTAGCTTTCAGCCTATACCCCCTTTCATTTTTCCTTTACAGTCCCTTTAAGTCTTATAATTCAATTTATGATTAAATCAATCATATGGACAACAAAAGATTCGATTAACTGCTTGATTAAGTTTAACAATTCAAAAGTTTTAACCCCAGATTATCATGAGTTTATAGTAAACATATAAAATACCATAAAAAGAAATTCAGAGTGCTTCGTACTTCTCTTTCTTGCCACCTTTTGAAAATACTGATTTTATTGTTGTTATTTTCTTCGTACATCAATTGTACTTTTTAAAATCTCTTCATTCACTCCCCCTCCCCCACCCTCTCTACCTTTAATTTATCTCTGGGTCACGACAGGTTCAAAATTTTATTTAGAGATCTTAACATATTTAATTTTAATAATAGAGAATGTTTAAAATTAGAATGCAATCCGTTGTCTCCATCTTGCCTACCCCCTAGCACTCTCAGGCTCAAAAGATAAAACAGCGATTCTTTGGGACCTAGATACAGGTATTATTATTATTATCATTATCATTATTATTGTTATTGTTATTTTCATAATTATTCTGATTATTGTTATTATTATTATTATTATCATTATCATTGTTATTATAGTTACAATTATTCTTATTATTATTATTATTATTATTATTATCATTATCATTGTTATTNCTTGCATGAAAACCAAGCTTGGAAACCTAGCTTGGAAACCTAGCTTTGAAACCAAGCTTGGATACCAAGCTTGGAAACCTGGCTTGGAAACCTTGCATGAAAACCAAGCTTGGAAACCTAGCTTGGAAACCTAGCTTTGAAACCAAGCTTGGATACCAAGCTTGGAAACCTGGCTTGGAAACCTTGCATGAAAACCAAGCTTGGAAACCTAGCTTGGAAACCTAGCTTTGAAACCAAGCTTGGATACCAAGCTTGGAAACCTGGCTTGGAAACCTTGCATGAAAACCAAGCTTGGAAACCTAGCTTGGAAACCTAGCTTTGAAACCAAGCTTGGATACCAAGCTTGGAAACCTGGCTTGGAAACCTTGCATGAAAACCAAGCTTGGAAACCTAGCTTGGAAACCTAGCTTTGAAACCAAGCTTGGATACCAAGCTTGGAAACTTAGCTTGGAAACCTTGCATGAAAACCAAGCTTGGAAACCTGGCTTGGAAACCTTGCATGAAAACCAAGCTTGGAAACCTAGCTTGGAAACCTAGCTTTGAAACCAAGCTTGGATACCAAGCTTGGAAACCTGGCTTGGAAACCTTGCATGAAAACCAAGCTTGGAAACTTAGCTTGGAAACCTAGCTTTGTCTTTAACTAAGTTTTCCCTTTAAAAGTTAACTCACTCAATTTTGAATTTTTAAACCAAACAAAGAACATTTCCGTGTTTCTAACTAGTTCTTCAATCAAAATTTGAGATCAATCGGTAAAGGGACTTCTTAGTTATGATCGGACTTACAAACAAACAAACACCCAAACAGATACAAAGCTCACTACTATATAAAGATTTTTTTTCTAAATATATTTCTTTGCATTTAAACGATTAAATTCTATCGCAGTAATTATTGATTTATTCAAACTCAACAAATGAACCAAAAAAATCTTATTTCTTTCTTTCAAATTTATTTTTGGCTTTAGGTATTATGTATTATCATATTTACGTTACCATATGTAACATTTATACAAAATAAACATTATTTTTTTGATTTAAAAAAGATATTCTAATTTCAGATCATCATAACCACTGATCATTACAAAGATATCTATCTGTGGGATTTAGAAAAACCCCATTCCAGGTAACCTTTAGGAATCGTTTACGTTCTACATATGTATTGATCATCTAAATAAAGTGCAATTTTTCATACAAACCTTGTACTGGGAAACATTTGGTTAAACATGTAATTTTATAAGTTGAAATGGAATTATAATAACTGAAACTGGAATATAGCAGAAATTATTCTTTCGTAATCAATAATTATTTCATAAAAGATAAAAATTTAGATTAAATGTTCTTACAAATGTCCTGATGACACCTAGTCCAAAATTGCTCACTATTATTTTTTATAAATCGTTCTTTGAAATGCTTTCTAGATGTTATGCTGTCATGTATTCTATATATATATATATATATATATATATATATATATATATATATATATGTATTCTCCTAAATATCTATATCTAGAAAGGAAAGCTGTATCAGATTACTCCCAAATATCTATATTTAGGAAGGACAACTGTATCAGGGTACTTCCAAATATCTATATCTAGGAAGGAAAGCTTTATCAGGGTACTTCTAAATATCTATTATAGGAAGAAAAGCTGATCAGATTACTCCTAAATATCTATATCTAGGAAGGAAAGCTGCATCAGGGTACTTCTAAATATCTATATCTAGGAAGGAAAGCTGTATCAGATTACTCCTAAATAGATCTATATTTAGGAAGAAAGCTGTATTAGAGTACTGCTAAATATCTATATCTAGGAAGGAAAGCTGTATTTGAGTACTCTTAAAAAGCTCTATATCTAGGAAAGAAAGCTGCATTTGAGTACTGCTACATATCTATATCTAGGAAAGAAAGCTGTATTTGAGTACTGCTAAATATCTATATCTAGGAAAGAAAGCTGTATTTGAGTACTGCTAAATATCTATATCTAGGAAGGAAAACTGTATTTGAGTACTGCTAAATATCTATATCTAGGAAAGAAAGCTGTATAAGAGCTTTAACCGGGCATAATGGACCGGTACATTCCTTGCACTGTGAACAAGGTTTATATTTTTCTTAATTTAAGATTTTCCAAGAAAATTTTAACATTTTGCACAAGTAATTTAATAGTTTAAAATTGATCAAATCAATTGAAAATGAAAATTATTTTTAAATGCATTAATGATACCAACCGACAAGGGATCAAAAATATTACGATTTTATTTAACATAAATCAGACGAAAAAGAATGATCAAAAGAGAGTTTCTTCAAAACCAAAATTTCTTTTAAAAATTTTATAAATTTCTTAGGTGTTCTTATATCCTGCGATGTAACTGGAGTGCTTCTAGAGAAGGTATTGAACTAAACACCAAACTTAGAAATTTAAAAAATTATTTTATAAAAACCAGAGTTCAAACTTTTCTGTTAACTGACGCTTGATCTTGATATCTACAGTAGCAACTTTAAAATCAGAGGATAAAGGCTTGATCCATCAATTTTTGTTATCCCTGCAGGTGACGACCACCACGAAATATTTAAGATGATTTCACAAGATACGGAAAATTAATCCCCAGATCCACAACTCAAAAGTTTTAAACTCGGATTAAATATATTCTAGGATTTCTGGAGTTGTGTAGAAGATGGACCAGGGATGAGAATATTAAGATGTACAGATGGAATCAACTGTATGGTGTGTGATAACACACAGGTTGGGCTAGCCAAACATTTTTGCAAATTTTCTGATAAAAATTGTAAAATTTTAAACTTTTTCATTTTTTTTAAAATTTGTTTTAAGATCGTATATGAAGTATTGTGTTTGTGAATAATGCATTTCAATTGAAACCAATTTAATAAACTCTTTACAGGCAAACATGTTTTAAAATTGATCCTACAATGATTTCCGATCTTTATTATCTTCAGGATTTTAATATAATCCTTCTTCAGATTGTTGTTGGTCTCGTGAACAAGAATATCGAGGTGTATGATAGGAAGAGTCTTCATCTAGTTCGTCTTCTTGCAGGACATGAAGACCATGTTTGGTCCGTTGATATGAATACAGAATACGTTGTTAGTGGGTCCTGGGACAGCAGGTATATATTATTGGGTCCTGGGACAGCAGGTAAATATTAGTGGGTCCTGGGACAGCAGGTAAATATTAGTAGGTCCTGGGACAGCAGGTATATATTAGTGGGTCCTGGGACAGCAGGTATATATTAGTGGGTCCTGGGACAGCAGGTATATATAAGTGGGTCCTGGGACAGCAAGTATATATTAGTGGGTCCGGGGACAGCAGGTATATATTTGTGGGTCCTGGGACAGCAAGAATATATTTCAAACAGTGTTAAATATCTTTCCCAAAGGCATTTTTCAATGACAACTTGCCAAGGGTCAAATTCCAATTTATTTTCCAAAATGTGCATTTTTTCCAAAGAAATTTTTCCAAAAATACTGCAGTCTATGATATACGGTTTATGGTTAAGGATAAATTATGGTTGAATTTTATATGATAAATGTGTGGAAATTTTTAGAAAACCCAAAAAATTGTCCATTTTGGAAATCGCCACTTAGGAAATTTTAAAGAAATTGAGTCTTAACCACAAACTCTGATATTTACAAATTAGGACGTACAAAGATACCAGACTAACAAAGATTACAACTTTGTAAATATATATACGGTACATTAATAATGAATATGCATTTTAATGTATGCATGTAAAATATTCAAATAAGAGTGAAAAAAGTGATTTTCTCCCTATTTACTGAGTTTAAAGAGGTGAAACTGGAGGTCAATGACCTTCAATCTCAAATTCATGTATTTTAAATTGTCGAATTTCCCCCACCCTTAATAAAAAATAATTTTTCATCTTCTTTATCTTTGCATCTAAGAAATCAAGTAAAAAGTTTAATTTTACGAATATTGAAGATAAAACTTTGATGAAAATGAAAAATTTAATTTTAAAAGTTTAAATTTATTTTTCCCTTTTAAACTTACTTCATTGAATTAGTTGAATAAAATGTTAATATTAAAAATCTTTATAATAATGCCCTATAAAGTATTATTTTGAAAATAAAGATAAAACAGAATTTTGATAAACTTTTAAGAACATTTTACATTTTCTTAAGAGGAACCCTCATTAAAAGATTTGCATGCAGATATTATACTTATTTTTGATCATTAAAATGAAATCATAATCATTTCTAATAATAAACATGATATTATACTTATGTGTGCTCATTTACATGATATTATATATACTCTTTTTTTACTCATTTACATTGTACTAATTTGAGCTAATTAACAAGTTATTATACTCATTTATACTAATTAACATAATATTCATTCTTATTATGACCCATTTAAATAAAAGCATATTTATTGGAGCTAAAAGGTGTACATAAAGAAGGTTCCCACTTATATTTTAAATTCTAGAGCTCTCAATATTTGCAATAAAATCTTGTGAGTTCATATTTACCTAATATTGTTTAGAATGAAACTAGTCCATGTAAATAAATCGGATTTGAAAATGATTTAGTTATAGTTGTTTTTGGACATTTGCAACCCAGTCACCCGGCGCTGAAAATTGCAGATGCCAGCTAGCTGGACAGTAGCTTATAGTGACACTATCAACCTTCTAAACTCTACAAAGGTTCTTATTTGTGTCCATCTACTTCTTTTTCTCTTCAGGGTTGGGAGGGCAAGGATTATACTGTTCTCTTTATCTAGTTTGCTTTTTTATGAAACCAGCTATTCAAGTTCCTTGATACAGAGGTTTCAGTCATTTAGGAAATGTACAGCTGATCTTATACAGAGCTTATTACCCTATTTTTGCTGTGAGCATTAAAAGCTTTTTATTTCCGTATTTATGATAAGGATTTTCGGCATGCTTCCTTTAAATATCGTTATCACTTAATTTGGACACCTGAACATGAGAGGAAACAATTCTTGATTTGTTAGGATTTTCCCTTGGATTGGACCTGAAATATCTGAAGTAAGCTTCCTTCCAATCCCTTCCAAATGCTTAGACAAATAGCTCCATTAATAAAAACTTATTCTTTTGGCGAATACATACTTATTAAAGATTCTTATGATAATGATTTTACAACCTGGCAATCTGTATCCGGCTTGAAACACGTTACTGATACTTTCAGCATGCTGGCAAATGGAAACTTCTGAACGAAGTCACCTCTTGGACTTTTTAAGCCACTTTTTATTACAGGATTCATCTTAGGTCATTTCTTCCTAATGTGTATGTTTATGATTTAGAAATTTTTCAGCTATATATTCGTAGATTTACATTGATTAGAGAAGAACTGGTAGGTGGAAACCTTTTTAATGTACACCCTTTAATTAATATGATATTATACTCATTTATACTAATTAACATGATATTTACTCATTTTAACTCATTTACATGATATTGTACTTATTTTAGCTAATTAACAAGATAAAATACTCCTTTAATACTAATTAACATGATATTTACCAATTTGACCTCAACATTTTATTTTGAGCTAATTAACAAGATATTATAATTTATTATTTAAACTAATTAACATGAATTTATGCTCACTTGTAATAAATAACATGATATTGTACTAATTTAAGCTAACTAACATGATGTAATAATCATTTATACTCATTGAAAGTGTACTCATTTGTACCCAATAAAATGCTATCATACTAATTTGTACTCGCTGACATGAAATTATAATCATTTGTACTAATTAGCATGATATTTATACTCATTTTAACTCATTTAAATCTATATACTCATTATACTAATTATACTCAGTAATACTTCATTAACATGAAATTATGTTCATTTGTACACTAATTAACATGATATATGTGCTCATTATATATGCTCATGTACATGAAATTGTACTAATTTGATCTGATTGTACTCAACATGAGCAGATATACTTTTTAAACTGAAATTGTAATTATTTATACTCACAGATTTAAACAAAAAGAATTGTGTCTTTTCCACAAACTCATATTTTGTAAGCCCTATATCTTTGCAACCTGATGGTGTAAACTTTTGGTAGTTCAAACTTTGACTAGTTGATCTAACAGAATTCATAGTTAGAAATATCCAAAGTATTCGACATTAGGTTGCATTGCAAGGATACAGGGATAAGAAAGTCAGAGTTTGTTGCAAAGACTAAATTCCTCTAATACAATATGTAGCAAAATGGGAACGACAGACATCTCTTTAATGTAATTATTCTCATATTGCCCTATCTGTAAAATCTATGTTCAATTATTGATTTAGTGTCAGGATATGGAGTAGAGAAAACGGAAGGATTCTATTTATCTATGTTCATCCACACGGCAGGTATACACAATCAATCATTCAAAAATCAATTAATGATAGAAATTTAAGGGAGAGACCAGCTAGACATGGTAGTTGAGCTGAAATGTAGAGAAAAACTTAAGGATTCATTTAATACCAGTGAGACATTTTTACGGTATACAATTTTTAAATATAAGAGCGTAAAGTCGTTTCACGTTATGTAATATTAGAAATATAAGTCAAGAATTCCAATTAATCGTCGCCGATAATTTACATGTGGATCTCTAATTGATTATAAGATTTGAATAGACAGATGGGTAGATAGATCTTTCCACCTTTGCCATTCTATTGGTCCTGAGTCTGACCAAGCACGTTTATTGACGTGTGGAACTGTCTGTGACGGGGTGTTTCAGTCAGCTGCAGCAGAAGAAACGTTTTTTACAATTATTTAATAACCCGAACAAAACATAAACTAATTTTCTGTTTAGGAACATATTTCTTAAAATGAATTATCGATGAAAGCCATAGTAGAACCTTAGAATCGATTATTTCATCATCATTATTACCTTTGCTGTTTCTAAAATTTTATTCGCAGATTTCTTCAAATTGTCACAATTAAAATAAATGAAAACCTCCAACAAGCAACCCTAGCTGAAAGAATTTGCATAAACCTGCGTGATTTTCAATAGAATTTTAATTACTTATTTTCAATGATATAAATTCATTATTTTTCTCAACCTGTTTGAATACATGCAACTAGTTGTTACAAATTATGTCCATGCTAATTAAGAATTGTAAAAAATGTTTCTTCTGCTGACTGAAACAACTGTGATATTATCACAAACGAGTTTACGGTCTTATTTAAAAAGTGAACACTATAAAAATGTCTCATTGTAATGAAATGAATCCTAAAGTTTTTCTCTACAATACTGCAATTTCAGCTCAACCCATGCAGTGTAGCCGGTCTTTATAAAGGATGAGATCAAAGATTTGAAAAATGTACATTGAAAGTTTTGAAGTTTTCTGAAAAAAAAACTATAAATAGAATTAATAAAGATAAAATTTAAATTTTGACAAACTTTATCGATTAAAGGAAGCTAATCCCTTGACAGATATATTATTGTTTAGAGAGATTTCTGGAGTTAAAATACTGAGAAACCAAATTCTTGTGACGAGCCTGGCTGGCAGCCTTAATATCATAGGAATAAAGTGCTGTACAGTCAAGTTTGATACTATTAATAAGAACACAGTGGTTCTTTTCTCAAATTTTCTGTCTGGAGAAATATTTTCCACAAAAAAAATTTCCTTGACATAAGACTCTAATGTGCTTTAGTAATGTAAATCTTTCCATATTTTTTACCCAAGCATAATTATATTTTTTTAATTATTAAAAAGCATGTTTTGACAAAAGTATATTCAAAACTTCAACCATTTATAATTAGAATGTGTGAATGAAACAAGTTTTAGAATCACAAATTTCTTCCCTGGTAGCCCGGTAAGTTATTGAAATTTAGTTTAACCATTTTCTTCTGGACCTGGTCGCCCTGAAAGTAGGGTTTCCAACGCAAGTGGATTTTACTTGCGCGCAATTGCGAGCCCTTGCGCGCAATTCCGTAATAATTGCGCGCAAATAAACGCAACAAAATTGCACGCAATTTCGTCCAACTTTCTTGCGTTGTGTTTCAATTTTCTAATGAAATTCAATTTAAACCTTATGGCACGCAATAAATGCAATTAATTATTTCGCAATTCCTTTCAACAACAAAATATTCAATTTAAACTTTGGCAGTGGCATACCATAAACTGAACTTCACTAACCTTTCAGTCTCAAATGCTAAGAAAATTGAATTTAAACTTAATATTTTGTTTTATAATATTCATTTGCAGCATGATAACCAGAAAAATCTGACATAGGAAGACGACAGTTTAGACTCAAGCAGACCCTTGTACCTGGACAAGTGATTTAATAAGTTACTAATTAATTTTCTTTGACTTGTAACGATAACGTTAAATACACTGTGATGTTGTCTTTCTGTTCCATAGTTTTCTGGTTCTCACTGTAGCAAAATATCTAATTTTGATTAACGGAACCTTACAATTTTAACCAAAAAACCAATTTTAACGTTTATCCAATGTTAACAAACGAAAAATGTATCATATTAAATTGTTAATTAGTAGCTTAACCACAAGAAACTTTAAAATTTGAAAACTGTTGAAATAAGTGACACTCGGGCCTCGATTATTTTAAAATCAACAGAGATATTTAATTCCATTCTTGTATCTGCTGCATAAATTTGTAAGTCGAATATTAAAAATTATTGAATTTTAGATATGAAACCAATTCCGATGCACGCAATTCCGCGAATATTTAATTGCTTCCTTTTTTGCAATTATAGCGCAATTGCGCGCAATAGAAATGGCGCAAGCGGAAGCAACCATTGCGCGCAACAGAATTCAGATTGGAAACCCTACCTGCAAGTTATAGAAATTTAGTTTTCTCTGTTTTCATAATTAGCGAATTTATAAATAATATATATATATAATTTAGATTTTATAACATTAAAATATATGTATATATATTTAGGAGCTAGGGGAAATATATTCTCTATCCTGTGACAGATCTCGTATTCTAACTGGACACACTCTAAACAACAAATCCTTCTTTAAACTATGGAATACAATTGATTTCTCTGTAGAGAAGGTCAGTAAAGAATTTAATTATCTTAGTTATACTTATCAATCAGGGACCAGATTTAATGAATAGCAAGAAGCATTTGAACTGCGTAGACTAAGTTGAACCAAGAAGCATTTGAACTGCGTAGACTAAGTTGAACCAAGAAGTATTTGAACTGCGTAGACTAAGTTGAACCAAGAAGTATTTGAACTGCGTAAACTAAGTTGAACCAAGAAGTATTTGAAGTGCGTAGACTAAGTTGAACCAAGAAGTATTTGAACTGCGTAGACTAAGTTGAACCAAGAAGTATTTGAACTGCGTAGACTAAGTTGAACCAAGAAGTATTTGAACTGCGTAGAATGTGTTTAAAAACTTTTTTGTGTTCGCCGGGTCTAGATGAAAAGAAGTGGTTCAACCTTGTCGACGTTGTTCAACTTTACCTTGTTTTTTATTAAACCTGTTCCATGAATAGCGAGACACACTAGACACGCGTAGATTAGGCTGACCCACTTCTCTTGACTTCTCCCTTAGTTTCAGCTGTAACAAAAAATCAAACAAAGAAACAGATTACTTGTCTAAAACTCAAATTTTCTAGTCCTTATGTCTTGGCAACCTGATGTTCAAACTATGTAAATTATGATGGTTAAATATCAAAGGTTCAGGTTTGTAAAGATATAGAGATTAAAAAATCAAAGGTTTAAGCGAGTAATTATAACAATTCCTTTAAAAAGTAACAAATTGCAGAGGTGTTGTCATCTAAATAATATAAATTCCTAGATAATCACAGAAGATAATAATCCAGCAATTATCTGGAGTGTCCATCTTCAATACCCCATAGCTCTGGTTTGCAGGTACTTTTCATTCCATGACAATATGACAGGTTTAACATTTTCTTGATTCAATTTGATTGTGCTAGTAGTTAGCTATTCTAATTTTGGTTTGCTATTTTTGATGTTCTATTAATATTCATAGATAGATTCTTTGCAATTGCTTTTTACCATACTTTCCCCAGTTTTACGGATTTTATTGCTAAAATATCTTGTTTTACTTTATAAATAAAATTTACGTTTTATTAATTTTTCAAAATATTTGGTCACAATTTATGATATGAGATTGTTTTTCATAGACTATGCAATTTTATGTATTGTTATTAGGGATAATAAACATTTTCCAGAGATAACGAGGTGGTGGATATATACAACCTGGAGAAGGATGAATGTGTCAAATCTCTCCGACATGAATCTAAGGTTTGAATTATGAAATATCTTTGACATGAATGTAGGGTTAGGTTTATATACAATATCCGACATGAGTGTAAGACTGGATTTATAAAATCTCTCCAATATGAATCTAAGGTTCACTATGAAATATCTCTGACATGAATCTAAGATTTAAATTATAAAATCTCTTCGACATGAATCTAAGCTTTAAATTATAAAATCTCTTCGACATGAATCTAAGGTTCATTATGAAATATCTCTGACATGAATCTAAGATTTTAATTATAAAATCTCTTCGACATGAATCTTAGGTTTAAATTATAAAATCTCTTCGACATGAATCAAAGGTTTAAATTATAAAATCTCTTCGAAATGAATCTAAGGTTTAAATTATAAAATCTCTTCGACATGAATCTTAGGTTTAAATTATAAATTCTCTTCGACATGAATCTAAGGTTTTAATAATAGAATATCGTAGAGAATCTAGAGTTATCATAATATGTACAGTGTACACAGGATATGTATCTAAACCCTAAACATGTAAGACTCATCAATTTCATTAATAATGTTGTCAACCTTTCTAAAACCAATGCTTGGCACTATTCCTTTATTTAAAAATATATTTTGCGCGATTTACATAGAAGAAGAAAGATTGCTTGATATATACTATTTCTAGGTACTTTGTGCCACTATATACGAGGGTAAGATCATCTGTGGTTGTCAGTTTGGATTACTGGTTATCTGGAATATTACATCTGTCATGGCCTCAGGTAACAAAATCACAATCCAATATTTTCATGAAAAGAGAATAAAAAGTTGTTTATTGATTTTATCTGTCTTTACATTTTTGTGAAAGGGTGCCTGAAACTTATAAACAAAGCTTCAGAAGAAAACCCAGTATCGAAAACTGCACCAAAAAATTTTTTCCGAGGGACGTCCTCACAATTTTTCAGGGAGGGGGACGTACCAATGAAATCAAATCTACTTGTAATATCTGTATAATGTATTCGCATATTCTAGCCTTTAATAAATCTCTGTACTCTCTTATCTCTGTATCTGCCTATGAAATCAAATCTACTTGTAATATCCGTATTATGTTTATGTTCTATGTCGTTGCACTAAACAAACTAAATATCCTAGACAAGAAGACAGTGTCAATGTCTGGAAGTCAGAGTACACTTTATGAACACAGTGCAGCAATATCCAATATATATGTGGATACTCAGGTATGTCGGATAGTATCCAATATATATGTGGATACTCAGGTATGTCGGATACTATCCAATATATATGTGGATACTCAGGTATGTCAAATAATATCCAATATATACGTGGATACTCAGGTATGTCGGATAATATCCAATATATATGTGGATACTCAGGTATGTCGGATAATATCCAATATATAGGTGGATACTCAGGTATGTCGGATAATATCCAATATATAGGTGGATACTCAGGTATGTCGAATAATATCCAATATATATGTAGATACTTAGGTATGTCGGATAATATCCAATATATATGTGAATACTCAGGTATGTCGGATAATATCCAATATATATGTAGATACTTAGGTAGGTCGGATAATATCCAATATATATGTGAATACTCAGGTATGTCGGATAATATCCAATATATATGTAGATACTTAGGTAGGTCGGATAATATCCAATATATATGTGGATACTCAGGTATGTCAAATAATATTTAATATATACGTGGATACTCATGTATGTCGAATATATTTTCCTCGGAGACCTCCAGATTTTCATTGAAGACCCTTACATTTTCATTGGATATCCCCAAGATTTTCACTGGAGACCTCCAAGATTTTCATTGGAGACTCTCCAGATTCACATTGGAGACCTGCAAGATTTTGAGACTCAAAATTTTTGCTTTAACCCCCCAATTTTCATTGGAGACCTTAAGATTTTCATTAAAGACCCAAAATATTTTCAATAAAGACCCAAACATTTCGTCGGAGACCCCAATATTTTCATTTGGGATCCTATACTTTTTGTTTTAAAACCTCAATTTTCATTGTAGACACAAAGATGTTCATTGGAGAACTCTTAAGTCCCGATTTTTTGTTTTTAAAGCCCAATTTTCAGTGGAGATCCCCATTGAAAATCTTGGGGGTCTCCAATGCAAATCTTGGGGTCTTCAATAAAAATATAGTGGTCTCCAATGAAAACCTTGGGGTCTCTAATGAAAATCTTGGGGTCTCCCGAAAACTTCTGGGGTTCTCCAATTAAAAGTCTGGGGTCACCAAAGAAAATCTGGGGTCTCCAATAAATTTTGCAAAGTCTCCAATAAAAATCTGGGGGTGTGCGACGAAAATATAGGGTCTCAATGTATAACTGGGAGGCTCCAATGATACTCTTGGGGTCTCTTTAAAAGATCTGGGGTCTCCAATGAAAATATGGAAGTCTCCAACGACAATCAGGTGTTTCCAATGAAATTCTTAGGGTTTCCAACAAAAATCTGGATTTAGTTAAATTATACAATATTTCGCTGGCGCTGGATTTTCGAAAATTCCTTGAAAATATGAAAATGTCGTCTTCACTGTCAAAAATCTTCGAAACAGGAATAAATGTTTTCAATGGTAAATATCAGATCATAAAAAAATAAAAATATTATGAAATATTAACTATATATTTACGAATATGTCGAAAAATTTACGATGATTATTGGTTGTAATATCTGAATGATTTGTTTGGAATTATAAATTGATTTTTTACGAACCGGGTTGAATGTACTGCAACTTTCTGAATTTGTATATGGACGTTACGTTCTTCAGCATGAGTCGTTTTTAACAATTATCTCATTATAGAAGTAACAGATAGAAGTATGATTAGTAGCGATCAAAAGCGCTTATTTTTCACCGAAAGCCTATACTCCCTTTCATTTTTCGAGAACACTCCCTTTAGAAAAAACATGATAAAGTCTAACTGTAAAAATTTACTATTAACAGCTATACTTTTTATCCTGTTCATTTGATTAGCAGCTTAATGACTTTGGTTTGATATAGATAATTTACTATTGATAATTATTCCTAGGAATTGATAACACATGACTATGATGGAATTGTGATTCTCAGGTAAAATAATGCTCAACCATGGTTGAAAAAAATATATTTTAATAATAATAAAGCAAATTTCAGCTCTCTCCACGCCGCTTTATTATTATTATTCTTACATAAAGGGACTGAACTGTGAACATAGTTTCACGTGACCATCCATGCAAAGATGGCAATGTCCGATTCATAAAGGTACCTTAACAGGATTGTCTGGTCAAGTATGAATTATAAATCAATGTTTATAATTTTGAAAACAACTGATTATTTTCAATTTTGGTTTGCTCTACAATAGTGCAACTTGCGAATTTCTACTGCAGTAAAACATAAAGGAATTATTAGTCACTTTTGAACCTAAAAAAAACGACAATATCTTCCACATTATTGATGAGATAAAGGTACGTTTCAAAGGCTCTGTTGTGACAATTTTGCATGGAGAGTCACAATTGAGATTACGCTCACATTTTAATATTTCTCATATTCTTGATTTACTTTGTTTAAACTGATGATGAGAAAAAGAATGTCAGTGATAGATATATCTATCATAATTTGTAATGAAAAAGCGCAATTAAAAAAGCTTTTCAGGTTTTAACACCATGAATGATAATTATGGAAAGTTTAAAATTGTGCAATATGCATTTTTGTGAAATATAGTTTTTCGTCTGACATTTATAATTGATAGATCAAGGCGATCTTCAATTTGTCTTTCGATCGTCATGTTTAGGGGGACGACTATATATTTAACGTTGCAATCTCTGGTTGTCTGTCTGTTTGGCTATGTGATCATAACTCATGAACCCCGAGACTGTATTGGTTCGAATTTTTATTGGGGAACTCGGAGGAACCAGGGAAATTTTCTTAGCCTGGATGTTAACATTCTTAATTGAGAGGGTTGACTTTAAAATCCAGACAAAGCTGGGTTCCTTAAGCCCTAGTCCTGCATAAACCAAACCATGAATAGATTATGAGTTGATTGAACTACTATTTAAATTTACAACCCACATCTCTCTTTCAAGATATTCTAAACAATAAAAATTGTCAGGAATTTGCGGCATTACAAGAAGTTCAGCAAAGTATTCCGACGAGCTCCCCAGGTTGATTTTAAGCAGTTGTTTGATGAAATGGAAGAAGAAGATCAACAACAACAATAACAACAACAACAACAACAACAACAACAACAACAACAACTTCTATTGAACCAACAATAACTGTAGATTAGTCCCAGCAGAAACCAAATATTCAAATATTATTAAATGAAGTCGGAAAGGATTGTATGACGTTATTTCAAGTGACTGCATCCGCGTTGTAATACTTGCATCCGGTTCAGAACCATAAACCTGTATCTGAGTATTTGGTTTTCTATCGAATCATATAAAACTTGTTGAATTCTTACAACTTTCTTCGTGTTCTCTGCAGCATAAATCCGCGCGTTACTAATTTATTAAGAAAATATAGAGAGTCACTTAAAATTACGCCTTCAGGATCAGACTCTTTACAGAAGTTATTCATCTAATTGAAAATAAATATTACCGTTTCTTCGTAAAGAACAAAACTAAGCAAATTTTAAAGGGAGTGTTCGAGAAAGATGAAAGGGGGTATAGGCTTAACGCGATAAAAAAGCGATTTTGATCGCTACTAATCTTACTTCTATCTGTTGCGTCTATAAGGAGAAAATTGATAAAGACGTCACATACCGAAGAGCGCCCATACAAATTGAGGAAGTTGGAACATACGACTTGGATCGTAAAAAAATCAAATTAATATCAAACAAATCATTCAGATATTACAACCTATAGTCTTCGATTATCTTTCGCCACATTTGTATATAGTTGATTTTTCATAATATGTTTTAATTGTTATGATCTGAGAGTTACTTATAAAATCTTTATTCCTGTTTCGACGATTTTTGGTAATGAAGACGACATTTTCATGTTTTCCAGGAATGTTCGAAAACAAGTTGTAAGCTAAATATTATTTTAAAAAACAAAATCAAAACTAGTATGAAATATCAAATATATACATATGTGGCGAAAGATAATCGATGACCAAAGGTTGTAATATCTGAATGATTTCTTTGAAATTAAATTGATTTTTTACGGTCTAAGTCGTTTGTTGCAATTTTCTCAATTTGTATGGGCGTCAAGTTATTCGGTATGAGACGTCTTTAACAATTTTCTCCTTATAGACGCAACAGATAGAAGTAAAATTAGTAGCGATCAAAAGCGCTTTTGTATCGCATTTAGCCTATACCCCATTTCATTTTTCGCGAACACTCCCTTTAAGATGTTCCTTAGAACAAGAATATAGCTGATACTTTCTAACAAAATAAATATCTCATCAGTAACTAGTAAAAAAAGATCCCATGTAAATATCAAAATTTCGTGGAATCAATAAATATTACAGTATTTTGGACTTCTCAATAAATACTAGAGGTGCATTGGTGTTGGTGATGGTTAGTTTGCCAGAAAGCATCAACTCATTCCTGTACCTTATAGCTTCAGGGACATCTTTGAGTGGATACGACAAGACGCCATATCATATTTCATAATTAGTTGTGTTCCACATTCCAAAATTGTGGTATTATTCGAATTTTTTTACCCTATGTGAATTAGTATATTATTTAAATATTGATCAGTGATAACCAGAAAACTTAGGATTAGGAAGTCTACTTTTAGACTCATTTATGACTTTTAGACTCATTTATGACTTTTAGACTCATTTATGACTTTTAGACTCATTTATGAATTCAAATAGATTAATGAACATGAAGCACTGTAATATATGCAATGTAAACAGACACATTTCACTTATATCAAGTCAGTTAATAACTTATTAGTAAAGCTATATTGTTATGAAACAATTCAAATCCACTTAAAGGGAGTGACCGGCTATGTAAGGTAGTTGAACTGAGTATGCAGAGTTGTGGAAAACTTCTTTCGGATTCGTTTGAGACATATTAAACTTTTTAAAGATTTGTAAATCCTGAGTTTGAGTGCAAATTCGACGTTCAAAACTCCTACTTTGGGCCGGGGGGCCCAGGGGCGTACGAGGGCTTTTGTTTAAGGGGGGGCACAATTAGCGCGCGTAAGCGCGCAAAAAAAATTTTTTGGTCCCCCCCCTAGGCAACTTTGGTCCCCCCCCTTAAAAACCCCTTTTTTGAAAAAATATTAATACCATTTTTTAAATTTTTTTTGCCCCCCCTCTCCCACCTGGACTTATTTTGTTCACCATAAAAGACTACTTTTTTGGGGGTTACTAACCTTAGAGTCTAAAAATTATTCCTTTCCTTGAAAAACTAACTTTTTGACTTTATAAATTTATCACTTAACTCCATCACAGCTAACTAAATCAATAATCACAGCATCATTAAAAATTATATTTTTATGAATAAACGAAATTTCTTCTGAAATTTTTAGATAGAATTTACTCAATCTAAATTTTAACCAAATCTTTTAAGCTACAATTTTCTGGGATTTGCTTGCACAAACATTTCAATGATTTTTTTCAGTAGAGAGCTCAGACAGCCTTATAGGGTGTAAAGCTATAAGCTTGCAAGATCGTTAAGTCTGTTCTTCGTCATAGTACACTGTTAGAAATGCCATTTTGTAAATTTTCAATATCATCATATTTCAGGCCAATATAACCAGTATATAGAAGACATTCATTGATATATCGTTTGAAATTTGATGTTTTCTGGTCAGAATGATTTTACTTGAATTAGCCTAAACACTAGTTGATATAAGTAAAATTAGAATCACATCAAATTTTTAAATGAGAATTGAGAGAAAGCAATGTCAGTATTATTTAAGATGCTTTAGATGCATACATTATTGATCTCTCTTAGAATTTACTTCAAGAGAGTCAAATTTTAATTGAAGTAAGCAGAATTCTAGTTAATGCAGAATCCAAGTAGTATTCTGATTGAATTGAGTGCCGGTACTGTCTGAACGCCGGATCACTGTAATTAAAGTAAGCAGGATTATGCTTGCTTCGATTTATGATGATTGAAGTAAGTAGAATTCAAGTGAATGTAATTAGAATTTAGCGTACAGGCCGTAAATTTATATCAAGCAGAATTATCGTTGATATATTACAACGGATCTTCATGGCTTGGTGCGTGAACTGAATACTGTTGATTGTAAGCGGGTTTTTCTAACAGTGTACATCTTGTGTAAAGAAGTATTCTCTTTAGAAGGCTAAAACTTTTCTCTCCTTGTATTAACAGTGAATTTAGACAAATCCTTAGTCTTTGTCATTGTCAGGTGTTACTTTCTAAGCGTAGTTTCCTTTTAATTTTGTATTTTTGGAACTCCCAGGGGGGCAAGAGAACTACTGCCCCCCCTAGGTACACCACTGTGCCTGACCTGAGGAAGGGAATGCAAGCAGATGTAATATTAAAAGAGCCTCCCCCATGGACGCCCCCCCTCAGCCTCTCAGGGGGGGCACGCGTAGAGGGGGGCGGGGGGCGCGGCCCCCCCCCTCGTACGCCCCTGCCGGGGGCGGATACGTTTTCAGAATTTTTTTTTTCAAATCGAAAATCTGTGAAAATCTTTGTGAATAATGAGAAAATAGAAACAAATAATTGAACAAGATTACCTTTTTTCGATGATAAGATTAATTTTTAATTTCTCAACATGTTCCGAAATATATTTTCAATAAATGTGGAACTAACATCTACTTTTTTACTCTACACCATCACCATCACCATCGGTCCATCACCTCCACCGAATTTTAAATGTTCCATATATACATGACGTCTGTATTTTATTGTAAAACTTTTTTTACATTTTATGCCGTCGTTATTTAATAATTTCAAAAAAACTAATTCTAAAAACGTATCCACCCCCAACGTAGGAGTTTTAAATATCGAATTTGCGCTCAAACTCGGGATTTACAGATCTTTAAAAAGTTTAATTTGTCTCAAATGAATCCGAAAGAAGTTTTCCACAACACTGCATACTTATAGTTCAACTACCTTACATAGGCGGTCACTCCCTTTAATCTCATATTCCTGCAGTTTTTTGGTTCTCAATTATAATGATCTTTTAATGTTTTTGTCTTTTAATGCAATATGGGCCGACCAATTTAACGTACAAGCCACATTTTGAAGAGGGTTTTGAAATGCAAAAATTGTGTAGCATATTTAAGGGTCGTGGATTTATTCTTAATTCGCGCTTAACCCTATTCCAGCTGGGGGGGGGGGTTCTTTTTAAACTTACATATGAGGATTTAAGATAGGGGATGGAGGGGGCAAAAACTATTCGTCGATATGCGCGAAATTTCGATGGCTAAAAAGTTCTATAATTTACCCTGCACATAACCGTAAGCTAAAATAATGCTTCTTAAATCATCCTAATGTTTCGTGCAGGACTTGAAGCTGACTGCAAGTTATAGTTTCTATGTTTTCTTAGAGTTATAAATAAAAGTAGATTGATTGAATTGAATTTATGTTATTGTATCTCTGGTGTGATAATAAAAACATCTAAATCTTTTGTCTATGTTGGCCATTCAGTAGCCATTCATCTAGTTTATTCTTGAAACTATACGCACAAGATATAGGCTGATTAAGAAAATAAAGAAATTTTTGTTCAAAATAATAATAAAAAAGATATCCTCCCTTCTTCCAATCTACGACAATTTAGTTTTCTGAGATCGCTTGAAATGCATTTAAAACACTGTTGTCTGAAATTGAAGCAAGCCTCTTTATGGTGCATTGCGCCATTATGTCCAGGTTAAGCAACCTGTCGGTGGTTATATGGATGAGTAGCTGTTCAAGCTCAAAAACCTTCGGAGTAATGACTTTGTAAAAAAGGGGTGGGGTGCACCCCCCTAATTTCACTCAGGGGGTGGTAATTATAGATTGCCCCCCGCTTTGAAACCACCTGGACTGACATACCCCTCACAATTAGGCTAAAAGCGGGTCTTTTATAACTATAACTGCCTATATGTTCTTCTAGGCATAAACTGCCTGAATGCCTTTCACCAGACAAATTCGATATTTAGGCCTTCAACATTCTATATGGCTCTTTGAATGCCTTGAACAAAAGAAATCAAATTGCAAAATTTTTGCGAAGAGATTTTTGCTTTCGCAAATGTTTGTTTCGGTAATGTTACGTATCGTCTGTACGAAACATTTCCCCCACTGAACTTCTGACCTACTAAATTTCCGACCTACTGCAATATCGGACCTACGCTAGCTGTTTATTTTTGTATTATTTGAGGGTGCTATAGCTGTTAGGTTCAGACATATTTCTGGGCTGAGCGCGCGCTGTATACGGCTAGGACAGCCTAGGGGGCCGCGCGCCGCGGTATAAGGGGCCGGGAGCTGCGGTCACACTTCCTTCTAGATGCTGTAAAACCACGTGCTAGTAAGTCGGATGTGTAGTATATTGCGGATTTGGCGTAGGTCAAAAATGGAGTATAGCGGATTTGCGTAGGTCGAAAGATACACCATCTTAAAATCAGCTGATAAATATTACGAAAGAACGAAGACGATCGGAGAATGGGCGAGATTGTTTAACATTCAGCCTTTACGTGGCAAAACTTTGTACTAGGCTTGTTCGATTGAACGAGTATGAAATATAAGATATTACGAAACTAAACTTTCCTCCTCTTTTGCGTGTCTTAAAAGATCAAATAGGCAACGATATGGTATTTTTTGGCAGAAAATTTATATTGGCTAATTTTAGTCAAAATTTTACACATGTAGCGAATTATTTACCGCGGACAGATGATTCGGCGATCTGGCTTCAAAATGAACAATTTAAAGGAAATAAATCACAATTAAACACATATTCTGTTATGTTTACCTGTTCCATTTCTTCCATTCCAGTGTTCTCTAAAAAGAGATCCGTATAAATTTCTAGTTCTCTACTACGCAGTGCAGTATTCGCAGTATGACGCAAAAATTGTGATTTAATTTCAGAATCGAACATCCCTAGCCATTCAAGGAACCAAGTGCCTGATCTCACATTTTCTAAAATGGCGGATATGAAATGAAGAATAATTACTATTTTGAACTTTTAACGTTATACAAGTGAAACCATAGAGAAATTCCGCAAGAAATTGGCATTTTGTGATCCAATGGTTACGAAATGCAGCATGTAGTGAGTCTTAAAACAAAGTCAGATGTTTTCCAAGGTATATTCACCATCTTTTCTATTTTTAGAATTAAATTGTGTTTCACGCGGACACAAAGTTTTATGTTTTGATGAAATAAGGAAACTTTTCAGCGGTGGTTCATATTATCAAATCGGATTGATGTATACAACTTTGGACATCTTCAACGTAGCATCTCTCAGCTTTGTTACAATAATTTTTTTCATGTACTTTGACGAAGCCAAGTCACAAATCTAGGTATTTTCCTAGAGAACGATTTTTGGATCGGGAGGGTTGAAGACATGTGGATCAGCTTTCGGCCCCTTAGTCTGTCCTAGCCGCAGCGCTCGGCCCAGAAAATGTCTTAACCTAACCTAACCCTAAGTAAATACTAAATTAATTGAAAATTGTTGAAATCGTTCTCTAGGGTTGACCCAACTTAATAAAGATCATTCTTATATTTCTACCAAGGGGCCCAAATCAACATTTGGAAAAATCAGTTAAGAAGTTCATTACTTATGATGGAACATACAAACACAGAACACTTATTTATTGAATATTTTGTAATAAATCGACTACTTCATTTGTATGTCCGATATTATCTTAAGAACCCATTTACTAATTTACCTCATTTGGATTGGGGAACTTGGTTAAACCAATAGAATGTTCTTAGCTTTGTTTGGATGTTCAAAGTGGGATGGTAGACTTTTATAGAGCAGGTTTATTTTCCAGCTAGGTAAAGCTGGCCCGGCTGGGTTCCTAAGCTGGCCTCAAATAAAGTAAATGAGCTCGTGCAAATTTATAAATTTCGTAATCTAGATAAATCTTAACTGAACCTTCGTGTCGAGTTGAAACTTATGTCTTTTTCTTTTTGTTCTGACCGTCAGCCTTTAATAATAACCGTTATTTTTTTATTTCCCTCATCCTCCAGTAATTCTGTTAGTGCTAGATTTTTTCTCTCAAGGGTGGACATTTAGAAATGTTTTAAGTGAATGGTTGAAACCTAGAATTTGATTATTTACCAGTGACTCTTAGACAACCTTTGATTTGATTTATTTTTTAGCAAAGATAAATCAGACTGAATATTTTAAAATTTAAATGTGGTTCTTTTAAATGTCAAAATTCGCTCCTGTTGAAATAGTCAATGATTAACAATGATTAAGGTGGTGATAGATCTGGAAGTTCAAGTATAACAGGAGGGGACGAAGATATCTCCAGATTGGTAGAATGTATGGCGCTCAATTCTTCAACTACTAGTGAAGAAGGTCAGCACCAGATCAAAAGAAATCTTTTGTATTATTCTTTTTCCTCTATTTTTCCCCCTCTCCCGCCTTTTTTATTTTTCAGAACAAATTTTCAAATTTTCAGGTAGATGTCTAACCATATAGCCCATATTGAACGTCTTAAATGTTGACAGTGTGCAGTGAAAATTAAATGTTTAAACGTCAAATTGTTCTTGTTTTATCGTTGGTGTTTTTTTGTTTGTTTTTTCTTTTCACCATGCTCAGTTGCAATTTGCCAACAAAGAGTTGACCGGATATGCAAGAGGGATTTAACCCTTTAAACAATATGATCGGATTTTAAAGTTATTATTTTCCTACGTATCTTCTCAATTTTGTTTATTTTTGATTTACAAATATTAAATTATACAGTTAAACTGTTTAGAAGGCTCCGAAGTGTCAGAAATCGATTCCTTCTTGATTGAGGGAGTGTCCGGTAGCGAGGGAGGGAGTGAGGGCGGGGAACCTGAATATTTACTCCCTAGAACTCCACCACTCTCACCAGAGGGCGCAGGAGAACCTGTAGATCCTGAAACCCAGGTAGTAGTACACAACCTTACCTTACATATTACACAACCTTACTAGAAATAGTATCCAACCTTACTAGACATAGTACACAACCTTACCTTACATAATACACAACTTTACCTAACATAATATACAACTATTACATAATACATAACCTTACCGTACATAGTACACAATATTACCTTACATAGTACACAATATTACTTTATAAAGTACAGAAACTTACCTTACAATTTACATAGTACACAACCTTACTTTACATAGTACACAATCTTACTTTGCATAGTACCCAACCTTACTTTAAATGCTACACAACCTTACTTTAATTAGTACACAACCTTACCTTACATAGTACACAACCTTACTTTACATAGTACGCAACCTTTGATTAGTACACAACCTTACTTTACAAATTACGCAATCTTACTTTTAATAGCTCCCAAGCTTACTTTACATAGTACGCAACCTTACTTTACATAGTAGGCAACCTTTCTTTAAATAGTACGCAACCTTCCTTTAAATAGTACGCAACCTTACTTTACATAGTACGCAACCTTACTTTACATAGTACGCAAGCTTACTTTTAATAGTACGCAACCTTACTTTAAATAGTACGCAACCTTACTTTAAATAGTACGCAAACTTACTTTAAATAGTACACAACCTTACTTTACATAATACACAACCTTACTCTACATAGTACCCTAACTTAAATAGACATAGTACACAACCTTATTCTACATTGGACACATTACACAGCCTTTACAATTTATAATACACAACAACCCCACAAAACACAGCAGTATGATTTTTCAATATACAATGAATTCCACTTAGTAAGCCACTTTAATTTGTAATTTTTACTACTTAAGTCGCAGAAAACAATGTTACTCTAAATATTTGACTTAATACTATTAAGGTTAACTTCCTTTCTTCGCACCATCGCTCCTACTACAAAGTAACCCATATTGGTGAATGATTCGTGTATCGATTAATTTTCATTAAAGGTGTTCATTAGATTGGGAAATGTGACTTGGTATAATTTCCTTTAATTTGTTGTTATACTCCAGGCTCGTCTAGAGGCGTTACTTGAAGCCGCTGGTATATCCAAACTAGCGGAAAGCAAGCAGTTAGCGGACCCTGACGTACTCAAGAGGTTGACCTCATCTGTCAGGTAGTTAACGGTCATCCCAGCTCCTGAGAGATGTATTTTTTGTACAATAATTTATTTTTATCAATAATATAATTTGGCCTCCTCATGCATTTTTCAATTGGGACTAATTGCACTTTTTATTCAGATTTACTTCATTTCCTCTCTTTGGACATTATAGGACTAAATACAACACATTTACGATTTATTAATTAAATGCCAAGTTTGATAACAACTGACCCCCCCNAAGTTTTGACCTAAAAGAGGTCTGTTGAACTCCCCGCGAGGAAAATGCGAGATTAACTATATTTGTCAAATTAAAAGTTTTCATTTCTGTTTTATTAAAACTTGAACAAAACAAATATAAACCCTAGATAATAAAGTAGTATTGTTTAGCTCTGCTCTTGACGAAGCTGCTGCTGCTCTTACACGCATGCGCATTGACCCATCCCAAGGAGACGGTACTAGCCTAGTCGCTGCTTGCTCACAGGTTAGAAGAGCGCGCTAACTGCTCATCGTTTATTTCATTACTGTACTAGAGATCGACCAACTTTCACAAGATCGTTGTTTTCACTATTTTATGCAAACAATAAGTTTATTATCTAGGTCATCAAGATTCCACGTTTTATTCAATTAGTTGAGATGATGTAGGCTCATTGTTTTTTTCATGATCCTCTAGAATGTATGTATATTGTATAGCTATTGTTCTCAAGACTCAGAGAACAAGATTCAGATAAGGATTTCTTCATCATATCTTACTATGTACTATTGTGTTAAGTCAAGATCCAATTTATTTTAATATAATTTTTCATTTCTAATTGTTTACTGCTGGTTTAGGGTTTGGAGGAGTTAAAAATTAGCGACAAAGAATCGAAAAGAAACGTGAAAAATGCTTCATTACAGCAAAACGTTTATTTACTAAATTAAGTGGATTTTGAATTAAAAAGTACTGCATTTGGGTTCGCTGAAAGGACATCAATTAACTTCTTTCAAATCATAGATTATCTATTTTTTATCCACCAGTTTTCAGATTGTGTACTGCATTGTCTACAGACATAGTTTTTTAATGAGAAACATCTTGAACACTATCCTATATTCACAGTTCAATGAATCTTACTTAAAATCTTGTTTTATGTTTTGAGATTACATGTCTTGACACAAGTGATGCCCAGAAATCAATCCTTTAAATCCTAACATAAGAAGCCTCTCAATTTGCAAACAGTTAGTTTCTGGTTTTAACTTTTTAAAACAAAGCCACTAGCCAGGGTAGAGTTCAATTTTTAGTCCGACTACACGGTGTCTCAGGCTTATGTTTTCCAGACCTGAAAGCTGTTACTTCTTGCATCACGCATTGTGACGTCAACATGAAATATTTTTTGTTAGGATTGAAATAAAAACAGATAATTTTACACAACTCATCTCCAAATAGACTGTTGACATAATCTGAAGTTAACCTCAATCTAATTGTTGCATGCCCATCAACCAGTGCTTAAGATATGGAGATAAGTTATATCCGCAACATTTCCACAAAAATATGTGAATTAAAGGATCCGGATCTAAGTGGCAAAATATCAACCAAATACTGCAAAAATCCCGGTTTGCTCTCCATTTTTTCCAGTGTAGATCCAGGATCTAGATCCTGATCCGCATCAATGTATTGGACCTAAGCACTGACATAAACAATGGTGCCCATAGCCCTTAACTGGATGAATATTGAACAATGAGGAAGAAATGGACGATCTTCTTACTTAAAAATGATAGATTTCCTTTATTGTCACTTCTTGTCACTTCTACAGAAAACCGCAGTTGAAAATTGTTAACTACTTTTACTCAGATAAAGATTTAAATGGCACCATTGTGAATATGGCATGCCTTTTCAATTGAAGTACGCTTAAAATATTTAGCCAGTCCTACAATAAATATTCTTTTCTCATTTTTACAGAAGATAAAAACACTAAATGATTTTGTGTTCAGGGTGATATATCTCGAGTTCGTCGGCTGCTAGACGAAGGTCGAGTTTCTGTAAACGAGACTACTGAAGAAGGAGAATCCTTACTGTCCCTCGCTTGTAGTGCTGGGTATTACGAGCTTGCTCAGGTACAAAGTCGGGGATATAATCTACCCCCCCCCCACACACACACAAAAAAATCTTTTAATTAATAACTTGTTTTTTCCGCACTTCGCTTTTATCTTTGTTTTTACTAATTATCCTCGCATTTTTTTCAATTAGGTGAAAAGAATTTTAATTTTTTTCATTAAATCTTTTCTAAAAATGTTTAATTTTATCTTTTGAACATTGCTTTATGCTGCCTTCAGTTAGGGTTAGCCATTGTTTAAAATTAAATGGGGACATAAATCATTTAGAAGATTAAAATATAAGAAGTATTTTTAATCCTCACTTGTTTAATCTATTTCTCACCCTCCTCTACTATGCTCAGTGCTCACTTCTACATAACTGCTGGTTCGGGAAAAGACTCGTTAGTAAATTTAAGGAGAAAAAAATCGATTTAGAACTAAACAGCAAGATAACTGCGTATTTTACTTATCAATAGTGATGCATTTATAATTTTTATTTCAAGCTACATTAGGACTAAAAATAACAATACTGAAACAAATACAACCCAGCAAGACCATTGAGTTAAATTAAATGTTCAGGTTTTACTCGCAATGCGGGCAAACGTAGAAGATCGTGGAATGAAGGGAGACTGCACCCCGTTGATGGAGGCGGCTAGTGCCGGTCACACAGATATAGTCAGGTACAAGATAACACATGATGTGGGTTGTAGAGACTTGCGCCCCAAAGGAAGTTGGGGTGGTTGGGGACCTTTTCACCTGGCGGTTTTAATGCGTGTCTTTTCAAACCTTCTCTTGTGTTTTTCTTTGGTTCTACGTTATCATTGCCAAGGAGGGGTAAATAACACCTCTCAGCTAGATAATGAGATAATGCCAGGAATTACCGATTTTATTTAAATAAAATGTGAAATGTTACTTTTTATTTCCAGGTTGTTGATCGCACATGGAGCTGATGTGAACGCACAGTCTAGCAGTGGTAACACCCCCCTCATGTATGCTTGCGCTGGTGGCCATGAAGAGGTAATGTTCTTGTTCTTAAATTGGATATCTGTTGTTTATGTTAATAAAATATGTTTATGTACAAGTATATGTTCATGTACATTGTAAAACTATATGATTATGTACAGGTTGTTCGTGTACTTCTTGAAGCTGGGGCCAACGTAGAGGATCATAATGAGAACGGACACACGCCGCTCATGGAGGCGGCCTCCGCTGGACATTGTGGTGTGGCCAAAATTTTGCTTGAATTTGGTGCTGGCATTAATACCCACAGCAACGAATTCAAGGTAGACACAGTCAATTTTTATAGGATATTTCGGGTGAAAGTATCAAGTAATCAGAAACTAGCAAGTTTTAGACCTTCTTCTCATTCGTTTAATTGCATAATCCTAGATTGAAATAAATAATTTTCTTTTTTGATAATCTCTGTTAATTTTTTTGTTAATTTAGGAATCCGCCCTTACTCTGGCCTGCTATAAAGGCCACCTAGAGATGGTTCGGTTCCTTTTGGATGCAGGTGCTGACCAGGAGCACAAGACGGATGAAATGCACACCGCTCTCATGGAGGCAAGCATGGATGGACACGTGGAGGTGGCACGGCTACTTCTCGACTCAGGGGCTCAGGTATTTGTCGATCTTAGATAGTTGAATTATTTTTTAGTTTTGTTACTTTAGAAGATGAATAAGGATCGGCTTTGTTCTTTGTTTCTAAAAAACAGAATTGAAAAATCTTAATTGTGAAAGATTTAGAGATTAAGCAGTATTGTCGAAATTCTTAGAAGTAACTAAATACTTAATTCAACAAGATTTTAATCCAAAACTCAAATCTGATTTTCCCTTGTTTTCAAGTTGAAAATGTTTAAGGTGAATATGCCCGCTGACAGCTTCGAATCTCCCCTGACACTCGCCGCGTGTGGAGGTCACGTTGAGCTGGCGATGTTGCTGCTGGAGCGAGGGGCGAACATCGAGGAGGTCAATGACGAAGGATATACACCCTTGATGGAGGCGAGTAGAGAAGGACATGAGGAAATGGTTGCACTACTCCTTAGTCAAGGTAAACATTACACTCCTTTATTACATAAACAAAAATTGGTAGAAATTAAATAAAAAAATTTATTTCTAAGAGAAAATCATTTTAATATTTTTGAAATTCTTGTTTTCAAATCAAATTTAATTAACTTCGTATTTATTTTAGGCGCGGATATAAACGCGCAGACTGAGGAGACTCAAGAGACTGCGCTCACGCTCGCGTGCTGTGGAGGTTTCTTAGAGGTTGCAGATTTCCTTATCAAGGTAAACAAATCTGTAAATTTATTTTGATTTGAAAGAAAATGGATCATGTATTAATCCCGAAAAGTGTCTCAAGAGCGTAAGTATGTTTTGAGAGACGATACGGGACAAACTAGTAATGAGTTTAAATTTTTTTCTGCACTATTTTGAGCTCGATGTGTTTTATTTTTTATATTTATATTTATATTTATATTTATATTTATTTATATTATTTATAAAATAAGTATTTGATATAACCTTTCTTTTTTGTTTAAAAAGCTCATGCTTTTTTACTGTCTCCTAGAATTACAAGAATTTTTTAATTAAATTTAAATTCAAGAATTATTTATCTTAATTGTTTCCATTTTTAAGTATAAAAATGAATTTGAAGGTTTAATCCGAAATTAGAAAGGGGAATTGATGTTTTACAATTGATCATATAGGAGACAGTTAGTTGCCAGATAAAATCAAGCTTATAAGAGTGCTAAATATATTTCTTGAACTGAACCTTCTAAAATGTTCAGGCTGGAGCTGATCTGGAATTGGGGGCATCAACTCCTCTAATGGAAGCGAGTCAAGAGGGTCACCTTGAACTAGTCCGATACTTACTGGAGGCCAGAGCTGATGTTAATGCTACTACTGGTAAGATCGGGGGCTCCTCAAGATGGGGGGGGGGGTCATCACTTACGTTTACTTAATCTAAAATTATTATGTTTCCCAAAATTGATGGTTATTTCTCCAAAATATTTTGAAAATTTGCAATGCTGTTTTTCTGGACAAGAAACAGCCTAGTATTTTAGTATCCTTAATAACTGAAATTAACTTTGAGAAGTTTGGTACTTGATTGGGGGCACAGGAATAGATTATGATGGGGACAACGTATAAAAATGTTTTTAAGCTTTCAAAGTAAAGCCCCATTTTCCGTTTTGACTGGTGTGAGGTTGTAATTCTTTTTAAAAAAATCCATGCTTTTAGCAAAACAAGTTAGTAAATAGTTAACAAATGACAAACTTGATACCAAATCAAATATAGTTCTTAGAAATATCAACATATACGTTTGCAATATACCTAAATAGATCTGATGAAAGCAAGGAATTCAAGTTTTACAAAACGTGCATTTTGTGTTATCAGAATAAGATCTTGTGTAATCTCAATTGTACTTGAAGTTGTCTGAAATATAAGTAAGAAGTTGATTTTCTTGATTTGATAGCTTAACATAGATGATATACTTTCATTGGTAAACAATAACATAGGTTGGGATTTTTTTCAAAGATTTGTGGGGTACAGGGGTAAATTCAGACATTAACTCCCACGCTTCCCCCCTTTTTTAATAATTTTACTCAAATCAATTTACTTCCCCCTTCCTGTCTGTGGTATTACCTGATTCAGCGATAAAAACTCTCACTTCCCGAGAAAAATTATTATTTGAAGATGGTATTAATTGTCTAGGTACCGGAGACACCGCACTGACCTACGCCTGTGAGAATGGACACACTGATGTTGCCAACCTTCTCCTCCAGTTTGGTGCTCAGCTAGAGCATGAGAGCGAGGGGGGAAGGACACCACTTATGAAGGTAAAAGGAAATTATTAATTAATAATAGAATTTCCCGGTGTTGCCCATGTCGGCCACCTAGCCTTCCTTTTCATTTTGTTGAAATGACACCCCTGTGACTAAAAAGTTAATCTGAGCGTTACGCTACAGGGTTTACCACAAATGATGAGACTTCAAAGACGATTTTATTTAACTAGCCTCTTCTAAATTAATTGTGAACATATTCTCTTTGTGTCCATCGTAAAACAAAACAAAAATAATTCGCGGATTTTCACAAAAAATTTCGTGGATTTTCAAAATTTTCAAAAATTTAATGAAGATCGAATTTTGAACACTGTTTAAATTTTCCGGAGAGTAATACGTTTTGTGGCCCCCCCCCTTTATATATAGATTTACTCGTTTTAATTTTTTACTAATTTGGTTCCCTTCAACTGTTAATTCATATTTTCCTTAATCTTGTATCTAGGAATGCAATGTAGACAAAAACTTAGCCTCAGATCTTTTTAATCTGCAAGTTTTAGGTCATCATTGAAGTCTCATCTTTGGTGAATAACCCAGTAGGATATCACGAGGGGGAAAATAAAATTTTTTATTGAAGTTACATTTCTTTGCTTTTTAGTACATATTTCACTTTTTGTCCTTTGAACTGAGCAGGAAAATTTCTTAGAACTTTGTCATAATCACACATTCCACTGAGATGGGGTTCACCTACTTGTACTGTATTCATAACTATTAAGTGTATTTTTTAATATTGTGAATGTTTCTAGGCTGCACGCGCCGGTCATCTGTGTACAGTGCAGTTCCTAATCTCAAATGGTGCAGACGTAAGTCGACAAACCTCAAACAACGATCATACCCCGCTCTCCCTTGCCTGCGCTGGAGGACATCTTAACGTAGTTGAAGTGCTCCTTCAGCAGGGGGCAGATCCCTTTCACAAACTCAAGGTATATATTTGTTAGTTAATAATTAGTTGATAAAATAATATCATCATTTATTTGAATTTTTGTTGGTCAAGTCTTTAGTACACACAGGGTTAATGTTTTCTATCAAACAAAATTAGTTAACTTAAAGAAAATAGTGCTTGCTGATTATGTTTTGTTCCGTAGTCACTAAGTGAGAAATAGACATAAAGTACATCTTCTTGAAAACCCTCATCCTCCCCCCCCCTTTTTTAAAAAAATAATTTTTTAGGGGGAAAAGAAAGAAAAGAATGAAGAAAAAACTACCTTTTGATGCTCAATATTTCATTTTTCCCCCAGATCATCAAAAATCGTATTTACTAATATACACACCTGGATTAATTGGTTAAACTGTTCAGGATAACTCTACTATGCTAATAGAAGCCGCCAAGGGCGGACATACAACTGTAGTTCAGATGCTGATTGATTATCCAAACTCATTGGTTGCACCAACAGCTCTAGGTAAATAAAGTAGAAACCAGATCGAACCAAACTTAACAAATTAGTTGTTAACCCAAATTAATTAATGTTATTTTCAAGAACTCCTGCACTTCAATTTACAGTTGTGTTCTACAGTACGTCAGGAAACTAAGTTACGTTTTTTTTGGGGTGAAGTTAATTGTTGGGTGAAAAGTATGAAAAAAAATTTCTTTCTACCTTTGTTTCCTCTGTTTTTAAAATTACTGATAGGTCTCTACAAATATTTGCTTAAATTTTTATTCTATCTAGACGCAAGTATGGACGCTGTACTCCAAATCTCAGGGTCGGAGCAGGAGCGTGTTCCGCCCCGGGGGAGTGAGATAGCGTCTCCACCCATCAGGATTCCCTTCCGGGGAACCAGGAAGGGCGGAGCACCTCATACCACCACCCCCCTGCAGTACCCGGTGACGGGTAAGGTTGGTCCTGAGTCTGGATATGATATTCTGGAAGGTTCTGCAGGTATTGTAGGTTTTAATTTGGAGCGTGGAATAAGAACGTCCCTAAAAGTATGATTTGATTTTAGAGATACACTGTACCCAAAACCCTTCACCAACACCGAATTTTTCGAGAACCCTATCATATTGCAGGATGAAATATGTATGGGGGGCATTTTCTTGAAATTAAATTAAGATAAGGACGAAAAAGGATGAGAACAGTTGCAAAAAATTCTAAATTTTTAATTTTCTCCTACAGATCATCGAATATCATTTCTTCTTCTCGGCTGGATTTCTTTCTTTTTATTTTGAATTACGGATTCGGATATCATGTTATGTTTTCTAGGTTACCTTCTAGAGGATCTAGAGAGAAAAGGTTTAGATGCTAAGTCCTATATCCAAACCATGCTACGTCGGACCGAGGGAAGTACTAAGGAAGAACAGATCATCCAGAAGGAGCAGATCCTTCTTGAGCTACAGAGGGTAGAAAAGGAGCTTCAGGTAGTTCTACGAGTCCTAAGTTAACGTAAACTCCCCTTGTATAATTGCCCTGAAAAAAGCAAAGAAATTTAAAACCCCTTAAACATTTTAGACATTTTTTTTGCTAAATTAAATTATTACAATGCGGGAAAACAATAACTAAAATTATTATAACGTCTCTTGCGCCCTGCATGATATTGGAATGAAATGAAACCCATGATATCTACAGGAGAAGGCGCATGCTCAGTCGCTGATGAGTAGTGAACCTCAGGGTGGTGGAGGAGGACGGAATAACAAGCGTGAAGCTGGAGAAGGAAGAGAAGGGGAAGTACGAGACTGTGATGTACGTGAGGTTGGAGAAGGTGCTGCTCAAGAGGATCTTCTTTCTCCTTTATCTTTTCCTATATCCTTAGAACAGCAGAATCCTGCTAATACAGAGGTAACAAATTCTGATTTATGAAAAAAATTAAACCCAAAGTATAACCACGTTTTAGTGAGAAAAAATTGGAAATACTTTGAAAGTCTTTTTTTGTTCATTTACATTTGTTTTATTGCAAAATCGAGCAACAAGATCAAACAAAGATACAAAGTTTGTTATGTTTAGGTGATACAGAACATGAGTAATCAGCTAAGTCTGAATGGACGAAGTCTGGCTACTCTGCCCCCCAGTGAACGTCCTAAAGCGAAAGCTTCCAGGAAGATTGATGGGAAAAACGGGAAGAAATCACAACTTCAAGCCGCCTTGCAGCAGCATTCTCAACAACTTGCGCAACTTCAACAGCTGCAGCAGCTAAACCAGCAGCTGCAGCAGCAGGTCGTTCAACAGCGCCAGCTGAAGCAGCAAAATCAGCAGACTTTAGCTGCTCTCCAGCAGAACGCTATTGCAAACCAGCAGCAGCTTGCTCAGCTGCAGCAGAATGTAGCTCAGCTTCAACAGCTTGAGCAAACTATTCTAGCTCAGCAGACCACTGCTCACCAGAAGCAACACCAGCACCTTCAGCAACGTGTTCAGCAGATTATGCAGCAGAAGCAACAACTTCAGCATCAGATCAAGCAATTCCAGCAACAAGTTGAACAGCAATTAGCCTTCACGCAGCATGCGGGACCCCTTCCGCCCTTAGCGATCGGTGGTCCTCCGCCTTTACCCTCCGGACCTCCGCCCCCGCCACCAGGAAGCAAGAAGAGGTTGAGTCGGGATGGCGGAGATGGTGAGGCGGATACCGGAGAGGACTCCATCCTTAGCTCGGACCTAAACTATATCATTAATGGTGACCCTTTTCTATCCTCAGGTAAACAAATTGTCAAAAAAAAGGCTTTAACCTATAATAATCTACTTTGTTAGTAAAGAATTTTCCTGAATATTAAAAGAAAAAATAATAATAAATATCCTAGGTGTCACTACTGGTATAGACCCGTCCTTGCTGACTAGCGCCGCCTTTGAACTGGTTCAGGCCAGTCAAGCACTTCAAGCAGTTCAGGCAGTTCCACCACTCATACATCCAGACTCACCTCCTATGATGACACCTCTCACGCAGGTAATAAGAATTGATATTTTATATACAAAAAAATATTAAATCTCGGTGAGTCGAGTTTGCAGCTCTCTTAAATTCAGACGTAGATTTAGGATCACAGTTTTTTATTGTAGTATGTTGTAAAAATATTAAACTTTTAACACATTTCTTATTTTATTATTGTTGAAATTATTGCCATAAATATTACGGCATTAATGACATTTCAACCGGTGTTGGATATCAACTAGAATAAAGTCTCGCTTGAGATTTTAAATGTTTACCAATGATACAGTGAGACGCAAACACTCTCGCCGGTTTATTTATTCTTTTCACCAAAGATTTTATAATTTACAATTTAATTATTTCCAAAACATGTTCTGAGGTCGGAACTTTTAATGCAGTATTGTTGATCTTGAACGCTTTATCTTAATAATTTCCAATGCGCGCACTTAACAATTTAAAGATAAATATTTGATCCTGAGTTGAGAGATCTCCCTACAGGGTATGACCACCACGGGGTGCAGAAGAGAAATTTAATTAATCCCTAGATCTGCACAAGTTCTGGCTTCTGAACATTTGCAAATTTGAAAATACAAAACATTACAATTACTCCATATTTGTTTTTGTTTTTTTTTACTCAAACAAAATTTGTCAATTAAATTTCTGTTATTTGATGTTGGTTTATTGAACCTTGTTCCATGTTTATATCTAATTTATAGAGTTATAGAAAATTTAGCTCATTGATTCCTGTCTTCAACATAATCCTCTTAAATTTGATTTTAATTTTTAGGATCCGAGTCTTTTAACAAACATTGACCCTGTCCAGCTAGCAGCTGCAGTCCAGCATTGTCCTATACCGCTAGATGGTTCTTTACAGGTGGAATATACATTTATAATCTTTCATTTTTCTTCTTTATTTCGGTATTTCTATTTTCTTGCGTCATGTTATAGTTTCATTTTTCTCCTTTTTTCAATGAAACTTTAGTTGTTATTGATATTAAGGTTCCTTTCCAAATAAAATATAGAATAAAATAAAACTTACCCTCACTGGTTTTTCCCTCCATCAATAAAAACTCGCCATAATTTCTGCCCTCCATCAATAAACTTGTCCTCAATTCTGTTTACTCCAACAATAAAACTTGTCCTCAATTCTGTTTCCTCCATCAATAAAACTTGTCCTCAATTCTGTTTCCTCCATCAATAAAACTTGTCCTCAATTCTGTTTCCTCTATCAATAAAACTTGTCCTCAATTCTGTTTCCTCCATCAATAAAACTTGTCCTCAATTCTGTTTCCTCTATCAATAAAACTTTTCCTCAATTCTGTTTCCTCCATCAATAGACCTTGTCCTCAATTCTGTTTCCTCCATCAATAAAACTGTCCTCAATTCTGTTTCCTCCAACAATAAAACTTGTCCTCAATTCTGTTTCCTCCCTCAATAAAACTTGTCCTCAATTCTGTTTCCTCCAACAATAAAACTGTCCTCGATTCTGTTTACTCCAACAATAAACTTGTCCTCAATTCTGTTTCCTTCATCAATAAAACTTGTCCTCAATTATGTTTCCTCCATCAATAAAACTTGTCCTCGATTCTGTTTCCTCCCCCCGTCCATAGGCTGATGATGAAGAAGTCCTCTAAGGCCAACTACGAAAGTAGAACCTAACCACCAATAAAACTTGTCCTCAATTATGTTTCCTCCATCAATAAAATTGACCTCAATTCTGTTTCCTCCAACAATAAAACTTGTCCTCAATTCTGTTTCCTCCATCAATAAAACTTGTCCTCAATTCTGTTTCCTCCATCAATAAAACTTGTCCTCGATTCTGTTTCCTCCAACAATAAAACTCGTCTTTTCTTCTGTTTCCACCATCTTGAAGTATTGGTTGAGTGCGGGGTTGTTACTATGATGCTGTTTAGGTTCCCATGACCCCCCTGTCCTGGCAGGAGCACGAATTGTACTCCCACCAGCTGCAGGTTAACCCACTCCTGTAGTCTCTTATGCAAGGGTGTATAATGTTATGGGATAAGGGGATGGAGGATAAGACACAACAATTCGGGCATTATACATCCGTGTTTAATATAACCATTTTAACCTACTCTAGTTTAGATCACCAGAAAATTAGAAAACATTTAATAAGTATTTAGTCCTAAGCTAACCTTAATGAGTCCAGTTCACTTGATTACTAGAATACATATAAACTTAGGTATTCCGTTGTCTTAAGCTAACACTTCTCTAGTCTAGTTCACTAGATAACTAGAATGCCCTAATCCTACTTGTCTATTTTACCAAATAACTAAAATATTCCTGAAAGGTACTGTGAGCGTAATTTCAAATGACCCTCCATGCAAAGATCGCAATGCCCGATTTACAACGGCACCCTTAAAATATTTTTCTGAGCTGAAAATATCCCTAATCCCGATCGGTTAATTATTCTGGAGATAATGACAAGAGGAGAACAAGCATTATTTAATCTGGAGGTTAAGAAAAAGAGGAGATCAAGCATTGATTTCGATATACACCATTCTAATGTTTTCAGCTCTGATCAAGTATGAATTGGATATCAATGTGTTTAATTCTTTAAACTTCATCTGCGGCTTCTCTGCGAAAAGGACTGAATTTGTTGTTAATAAGAAGAAATTGAGAAACTCATTGAAATATACACTTTTTGAGTCAGAAAAACGACGGGATCTTCCTCAGGTTTCAAGGGTACAGTTAAAATCGGACATTTCTATCTTTGCTTGGAGGGTCCCTTACGTTTACAGTTTTTTTAACACCTAGCTCTCAACCCTTCAAATCTAAATAATAATCAGTCCTACCCCTAGACCAGTTCAACAGAATTACTAGAATTTTCGTTAATTATTATACCTTTAAATAGTACAGGCTACTGCAAAAATATAAAGAGGTTTATTTGTAATAACTCAACTCTAGCCTTAAGTCGCTAGAAAGCTGTGATATTCCTGGATAATTTTTAACAGTGCTTAGGATTCGGATCCGTTGGATCCGCAAGATTTTGGCTTCCTGGATCCGGATCCGCAAAGATATTCGGATCCACGTATCCGGATCCAAGGGGTAAAATATCAACCAAAAACTTAAAAAAAATACTTTTTTATTCCTAAAACCCAAATCTGAATTTTTGAAAAAAGAGAGATTATAAAAATATCCTCATTTCTGAATGGTTCATGTTTAATGAATAAAAATAAGCGAAAAAAAATAAAACAAAAAATTTTAAAATTATTTTTTTGTTAACAGAATTCAGTAAATCTTAAAGAAATGACCTGGATCCGGATCTGGATTTGGATCCGAATCCATTTTTTTCCAGCGTGGATCCAGGATTCGGATCAAAATTAAATGGATCCTAAGCACTGATTTTTAAAGTTTAATTTATTACATCCTGGTCCTACTGCAAATCTTCCGCATGACCGACAATCTTATTTTTTTTCTCGCATTTTTGTTTTAGTTACAAGGAACACATGCTTTAGACATACTTAGTACATTCATGACAAGGTTGCATTATTTTTAAAGCATTAGAGAACGTTTTTAATGTTTTTTTAATACATTAACTGTCCGTTGCCAATAACATTTATAGCTTATAGCTTAATACATCACGGATGGGTGTACATTTTTTTAACAATCCCCCCCCCCCCTCCTTCTGCTCCAAATGAGAAAAAATTAATCGTTGGGGGGCATGAATTATTAGGAAAAATTTCTTGCGGAGGTAAAAAAAGGCTGCTCAGTCGAAGTCTCTTTTTTTTGCTAGCTTTTAAATTTTGAAATTGCACTCTGTAACCACGTTTCATCACTTATAAATAAGTTTTGAACTTAACTTGCTTATACATTTTATTTTTGGAACTAATATTTAACCTCTGCAATGTATAATGTTTATGGAACCTTGAAATTTAAAATATTTAGGTTGCAACCTCTGGAGGTGTGAGTGTACAGTATAGTTCTGGCCTTCCTGTACTCTCCAACCAAACTCTAGATTGTGGTCAACATCCTCAACCTATCTCAGGTATATTTCAGTCAGATTTTTATATCAATATTCTTTAAAGTTAAAAATATCCCAAGCTACTTTGTTAAATATATAATTTACTTTTGGGTTTCACCAAAATGGCATTTCTTTCAGATGTCATTATGAAAAATGTATAGCTCTTAAAAGACAAAGAACATGTTTTATAAAAATTGTTTTCAGGGTTTGGACATGACCTTTTCCTGAACACCAACCTGGCCTGTGCCTTCGGTGGTGGCCAGGGTCTACCAGGTCTAGAAGGAGGTGTTGCTGGTTCCAACTTTCAACATCAGATTCTACCTGGAGGACAGGATAGTCTAGATCTTCTTGGATTCTCCCATCAGGTTTAACTTTTTCTATTTTTAAGATCTATAACAAATATTCAAATAAAATGTGATTTTTTTTCTAAATTTCTTTCATTTTTAGTTGGAGCACTCTGTGTTAGCTGACAAGCAGAAGATTGGGAAGAAGAAACAACTAAACCATCAATCTACTCCTCCATCCGTCATTGATCCCAACTATGCCGCCGGAAATCTCGGGCGTGGATATCCTGCTGGATATGCTGCTCCGCCGGCTGCTGGTGTTCCTGTCGTTGACCTGGACTCCGAGACGGATAGTAACCACGACACCGCCCTAACCCTGGCATGTGCCGGAGGTCATGAAGAGCTAGTGACCCTGCTCCTGTCCCGTGGCGCGGATAACGAGCACCGTGATAAAAAGGGATTTACGCCACTAATCCTCGCTGCTACTGCAGGCCATGATAAGGTTGTGGAAATCCTATTTAATCACGGAGCGGATATAGAGGCGCAGTCAGAAAGAACCAAGGATACCCCACTGTCCCTAGCCTGTAGTGGGGGTAGGTACGAGGTCGTGGAGATCCTGCTATCTAGGGGTGCAAATAAAGAACACAGGAATGTTTCTGATTACACCCCTCTCTCTCTGGCCGCTAGTGGAGGATACACCAATATTATCAAGCTTCTGCTAGTACATGGAGCTGAGATCAACTCCCGGACCGGATCCAAGCTTGGTATCTCACCTCTCATGCTCGCCGCCATGAACGGGCACACCGCTGCTGTGAAACTATTGCTGGATATGGGTTCCGACATAAATGCTCAGATTGAGACAAACCGGAATACAGCCCTTACTCTTGCCTGCTTCCAGGGTAGGCATGAGGTTGTCTCCCTTCTCCTAGATCGCAAGGCGAACGTTGAACATAGAGCTAAGACAGGATTAACTCCGCTGATGGAGGCTGCTAGTGGAGGATATACTGAGGTGGGACGTGTACTCTTGGATAAGGGTGCAGATGTGAATGCTGCTCCAGTACCATCCTCTCGTGATACCGCTCTTACAATTGCTGCTGACAAAGGACATTATAGGTATGTCTTTTTATATTTTTACTTGGGGGTTAATACTTTTCCAATGTTTCCTTACTTAAAACCATGTGAAAAAGTTGACTTGTGAGGCTGAATTTTAAACATTTTTTGTGGGGTTGGGCGAGGAGAAAGTTGTTTTTAATGAATTTTTGTCCTAAAAAATCTGGAAAATACGAATACATGATATTAAATTTTATCGGTATTTTTTATTAGATTTGTAGAGCTACTGTTGTCCCGAGGTGCCCAGGTAGATGTGAGGAATAAAAAAGGAAACTCATCCCTCTGGCTGGCTGCTAATGGAGGACATCTTGATGTAGTCCAACTTCTCTACTCTGCCGGTGCGGATATAGACAGCCAGGACAACAGGAAGGTTTCCTGTCTAATGGCTGCCTTTAGGAAAGGGCACAGTAAGGTGGTAAAGTGGTTGGTAAAGCATGTTACACAGTTCCCCTCGGACACTGAGCTTACCAGATTCATTGCAACCATCAATGACAAGGATCTGCTGAAGAAAACCCAACAATGTTTAGAGATTATCAGGATTGCCAAGGAGAGACAGGCTAGTGAAGCTAACAAAGCTGCAAACATCCTACTTGAAGAATTGGAGCAGGAGAAGACAAGAGAAGAAAGTAAGAAAGCTGCTGCAGCTCGTAAACGAGAAAAGAAGAAAAGGAAGAAAGCTGAGAAGAAAGGAACCAAGATGGATGACGAAGATGATGAGGAAGAGGAAAAGGAGGATATTAAATTTGAAGTGGAGGTTGAGGAGGAGGAAGAGAAAATACCCGAGATTCTGGAAGAGGTTGTAAATGATCTTAACAGAGACTCGGGAATCGATGCCAACAGTCAGGGTAGTGGAACAAGCATTGAAAAGGAGGAGAGAGGTAAAAAGAAGAAGAAAAGTAAGAAAACCAAGGAAAAGGAGAAGAATGAAAAAAATGAGAAGAAAAGTGAGGAGAAGGAAAATATTATAAATAATGCGAACCGCGTGGAGGTTAAGGAGAAGACTCCGGAGGATGAGGAGCGACCTGACAGTAGAAATGAGAGGAATAGTCAACCACGTGTTCCTTGCACAATCGAGGGACACTCTGCTCCAGAGACCGAGAAGTCCAAAGATGCTGGGTTCAGCGAACCTATCAGGAAAGGCCGCAACAGGTTGAACAGGCAGAGTGAGGACGGAGAACCGAAGATTCCAGTTATTTCAACTGTAGCAAAGAAGGGAGTAGTTGGCAAGGTTCCAGTGCCTGATGCTGGCTGGAAAGAGGTTGTCAGGAAAAGTAAGAAAGTTAGTGTTCCATCCAATGCTATAAGCCGGGTGATAGGACGAGGAGGTTCAAACATTAATGCTATTAGAGAGCTTTCTGGAGCCCACATAGAGGTAGAGAAACAGAGCAAGGGTCAAGGAGATAGAACTATACTAATCAAGGGTAGTGCAGATGCAACACGTCTTGCTAATACTTGGATTAGTGCTATTATCACCAGTCCAGACAAGGATCTTCAAGAGATTGTTGGAAAACAGCATTATAAACAGCTCAGCGCTGCTTGCCTTGCTAAGGGAGCCACAGTATCTGTAACTACTAAAACTGTAGTTAAGACTGTAGTTACAACAACAACTGTAAGTAGAGCTAAAGGAGCAGAGATTAAGAAACAAACTACGGTTGCTGCTATTACAACGGCTACAAAGTTAACCCTTGCATACACTGCTCCAGTAATGACTTCCAAAACTAAACCAGTGACAAGCACCAGTTTTGCAGCAATTGCCGGAGGCAGCGATAATTTAGGAATGATTCCTACAGGTCCTCCACCAGCAGCTGCCATGAAACCCTCTTCAATAGCATCTGTAAAGCCTGCTGTTGCTGTAACAAGTGGGAAGCAGACTAAAAAGGGAGAATTGATCGCAGCTGCTGGGCCTCTAGATCCTAAAGATTTCAGTCCATTCAGTCCTTTCAGCATGGCTCAAGGATTCGGTTGGGCGAGTGGAAATGACAAGGGTCCCAAAGGATTTGCCACAAATGGAAATCCAAGCATTGCATCTTCTCAGCCTGACGTATCTAAAGCTCCTGGATACAGAACAGTTGGACAGCCTGGAGTTAGTTCTCCCAATATCACAGCTGAAGCTTCCTGGTCAGGATCTGGTCATATACCATCCTCAACATTGGGTTCAGTCTCCTCAGGGTTTAAAAACCAGGGTGGGGCAAATGATTCTTCTCAGTCTGGATTGTATCCTACTCAGGAACGCTGTAACTCAGCTCCTGGAACCCCTGTTTCTCCAATGGTTCCGTCTCCTATTGCTCCGCCTGTGGCCAATATTGGTTCCAAGGGTGGAGGTTCTCCAGGAAATGAACAACAACCATCCTGGTTCCGTCCTCCTGGTACTCTAGGATCTAACCTGAGATCTATGACCCCGGATGTAGAGCTGGACCGACGGTGGGGAGGACTAGAAGATGTTGATGTACCCCGAAGACAAGGATCTGGAAGCTATGGACACAATAGTCCTGCTAAAGCACCTGGAGGTCACCTTCCTGACCTAATGGGACGGAATATAAGCAAACCTGAACCCTTATCAGGTATAGCAGCTGAGAACCTGCTTAGCGCTGCGGCTCAGCTCTCCAATCTGCACTCCAACAATTACGACCTGATGGCGACTGCTCCTGCAAGCATGAATATGTCTGGGATGCCAATGTCTGATCTTGCATCCGGATATTCTCGTTTAGTTCCACCAGTGATGTCAAGGTTTTCTGCTCCTCCGCTGACGAATACTACCTATAGTCAGCCCCAGGGAATGTCTATCCCCAACAATCTACCAAAGGGATTAAACCCCAATGCCCCAGATTTTAACCAAGGTGGGATCTACAATACCGGTTTACGAGCAAACCTTCCTCCCCGGGTTCCAATGATGAACGGTCCTCCTAAGATCGGCAATTCTCTCACTGGGTTTGGAAACCACTATGGAGCTGGAATTAACAACTTCCAGAGCAATGTTCTCACACATCAGGGAATTAACGCCTATTTATCTCAGTTTGGTGGAAACCAGCCCAACCATCTGGATATGATCAATTCAGGTTTGTCTGATCTAACTCTGAGTGGTAAAACTCTTCTAGAGCTGACAGATATCTTAGGACCAGAAAGTCCTTATCCTTCTAATCTTGCTGATCCTGAACCCAAGTTCAGTCGACCTATCGGAGCAGAACGAAGAACCGGTCCTTCTCCTGCTCTTGGAATGTCAACCAACATGAGCAGAAAAGTAGATCCCTACACTGTGTGGGAATTTCCTCCATCTTACAACGACAACATCCACTCTAACGACGCGTTCTCTGGGCTGATCCCGACACTAACCGGGCAGACCCTGTCCTCTCTAGATAACCTATCAAAGACAGGATATGATGTAATGAATCACTTCAACGGTCAGGCCCAAATGGATCCAGGTTCTATTGGTGGGCACACCCCCGTATCAGGGTTCGGTATGTCTCCTGCTCTCACTCCGAGCAAGCAGGAATACTCTGACTGGGGAACTGGTTCCACCTCAGGTTCTGCTCCAGGATCTGGAAACAAGAACTTGGCTCCAGGAGGGTTTGTGGACCGCGGAGACCCGGTCACTGTTCGAAGGAACATTGTAAGTTAATTCATCAATTTTTTATCCATATTTTATTAACGCTTTTTTAATTTTTATTAATCCTTTAACTTACTCCAATTAGATTTTCTTTTTTCTTACAAAAATATATTTTTCAGAACCAAAACCAGATGTGGCCGAAAAACTGGGAGGAATAAGAAGCTTGTTCAAACTTGAAGATCAACTAATCTTCTGAAGATCGGTTCTCGTTTTCTAATAGAATTTTGGCATCGTTTTTTTACAAGTAATGATCGATGAGTCCTCCTGCTAAATTTGTTTGACCCGAGATCTGGTTCTAGTTTCTAATCTGTGTCTTGAATCTACGGTAACAGATGTTTTAATGATCGAAAATCGACGAGGACTTTCGACACCGTTCATTCTTAATCGGCTTGGTCCAGATCAGATCATCGGATATCAAACACTAAGTCGTGGTATAAATTGATCTTGTTTTATAAATAATATCCGTGAAACAAGAGTATCTTATGTATTTTCAAGTTCCGAACCTTTTAATCCTTAAACTTTCGGAATATTTTAATGCCAGGTCATTTTTTGTGTTAACTCTTAGCATTGTTATATCGGAATTGCTTTCCCCTACTACGGATATTGAATATATATTATATCAAAATATAGTTTATTTCCCCTAGAGACTAGAGATCTTAAACAAAAATGATACAGGGTTACCCACAAAGAATTAGACTTCAGAAACGAGTGTATGGAATTTATACTGTCTGTTTTCTTACATTCATGCAATCATAAACTTGTTTTCTTCTTTATCAAATCCTTAAATAGGTCATAAAATGACTATATTTAAGACACACAACTGTATTTGACACCATTGTGAATTTAGCCTATTTTTTTTAAGATAAAAATGTTGGCAATTACAGTTGTTCCCTTTTTTAAAAAAATGTTTGTAGTAAATTTGTAGTAAATTTCAAGTTTATGTCTTAGGAGTTGTTAGGGAAGGCAAACGATAATTTGCAGGGGTGGTAAATAATTAAATTATTGAGTGTGAAGCGCGCCGAAACTTCATATCACCCCTGGGGTTTTTTACTGGAAAAACCATGACCAGCTTGGGGGTGGAAAGTGGAAAATATGTTGCTAATATTTGGATTTGTATAAAAAATCTTTATTCACTCTCTCTCCTTACGCTTTTAATTTTTCTGTTACAGAGGTGAGGGGGAGGTCCCCCCTCTGGGTATTTTTTTAATATTTTACACATCAATTGGGGGAAAATTAAGCAAATTCTGTCTTTAAGCACGGAACAATTTGCCTTAATATCTAGTTCAAACCTGTAACTTTTTAAATCTTTGGCCGAACCTGGAGAACCTAGATGATGAATGGAAATGAGAAAAAAAGAGAACTCCGCTCAATTTCTTCTTGAAGTTAAAGTTATCTCAGTGTCAATTTTTACCCTTGAAAAATTCTCACTTTGTACCTAATCAATCAAAATATGGACATTTGCAGCCAGGGTAGGAGGGAGTCGATATGTCTTGAGAATAAATTCCTTTAACCCGGCCCATTTCTATTATTATTATGTTACAAATCTGTAATTAAGTTAAAAATCAGATTTTGAAAGCCCTGTACTCAACTTCAATAATCTGCACTCGGCAGTGAATTCCAATATTCTAAACATTTTCAAAACCTTTCAGTGTGAATTAAATAAAAACAACTTAAGATGTGCAAATTGCCCTAAACTAGGCGTCTGTGCAAAAATCCATGACAGATTGGTTACTGCAATAATTGCTTCAGCTTTTGTCAAATGGCTTACCAAAGAACAAATGAATGAACTAATCAAAATAATTAAATCTAGTCTGCAGAAATGGTAAAATAAGGTATTCAGACAGTTTAAGGTAAAAGCCTCGAGTCCAGGGTTTGTGTTGTTTTAAACGTCGAAAAAAAGACCTCATGATCATATACTAAATTTTGTTGGAGAGACATGAAATTCATAAAATAAATAGAGTAGGATATTACGTGTGTGATTCGCGTGATTGATTATCTTGTTTAAAAAAAACTATAATTTTACAGGGCACGATATACCCACGCGTCATATATACACCATCCAATTGGGAAAATAAAATTAGCGAGTATTTAGGACAGTGTTGAATAAATATGAATTATTACAAATTAAAAATAGAATTTCGATGAATTCATGAAATAAAAGAGTAGGATATTACGTACGTAATTGATTATCTTGTTTAAAAACTAGAATTGTACAGGGCACGATTTACCAACAAAGGATGTGACTTGTCAATGATTCATAGGTCGGCTAGTATAGCATCACATGCCCGCCAAATTTGTATGGTTCACAGATAGGTCGTCCTTGATTACAGAATTTGAATTTGCCGCCCGATGATATTGGCCATATTTGTGTAATGAAAGTCGGACTAGGCAGGAACCGGTTCTGTAGCCAGATGTGAGCATGCGCAGAATTACCCCACCGCACGAGCTGATCAAGACTAAGATGAAAATTCATGCCGGGTTAGTTTTTTCCCGGAACGTTCAAGAAACCGACACGAACGGATTACAATGAGTGAATTACACCATTATATCTCTTTAAAAATAAATAAAAATAACGTGAGGAGTTAAAATGGCGAGAATAACTTAAATTTATAAGTTTAAGTGAAGTTAAAACCAAAAGATCAAATATCAAAATGGAAACTCAGCTCGGAACCTACTCTTTATCATCGGATAATAAGGTAAATAGTAAATATATCGTTTACACATATATTACAAATAATTCGTTGATAATCTGGGGGTCTGTCCTAATACTTCTTATCTTTTCCTATCTTTTAGCTGTGCGAATTTAGATAATAACTGCAGATCAGATTTTATAGACGTAGGATTAAAATTATAAATACTTCACTAAAATCGTAGACTAGGACGGACCAAAGTTATTTTTTTCTAATCTATTTATTATTCAGAATGCACAAAATTAATAGAAAAAGCACTATTTATATGTATGTCTCCAACATGTACATTCTGAGTTATGAACTATTTTAATAAATGCTTAGATCAACAAAACAATTAATTGGTCATTTGGCTGCAGCGCCCGGCCCCCTAGCCGCACCGCTCGGCCTAAAAATTATCTTAACCCAACCTAACACTTCAAAAGAAAAAAATAATAAGTTTGCTGAAATTATTAGTGGTCATGTACAAAATTAATAGGAGGGGAGAGTGGTAGTGGGGGGGGGGGGCGTCCAAAAATTATTTTCTAGGACAAACCCATTAACTAAAGTAGTCAAAAATTGAGAAAATAACAATAAATAGAACATTGTTCCGACCAAAAATAATGTTAAAAATAGTATGGCTTGAAAGCCACTTACTAAGTGCGAGAGGACAGAAAATCATATTTTTTTGCCAAAAATTGAAGAAAAGTATTTTTCAACTGAATTTGAGAGAGTGTCATAAAATAGTATTTAGAAGAGAAAAGGCTTTGAATCTGAAATGGACTCGTAAAAAAATCTACCACAACGAAATATTGCCTGGGCAAAAATATTTATTAGAGGACGCGGAAACGGAGGATCTTTAAGATCTGTAATTTAAAATACATTCGAAGAAATCTTTCTTTTACTAATTTTTTCCTGATTTATAGGGTATACTTTCCTTACTCAGTGCAATAGAGCAGTCGGAAGATATTGATCCAGGCAAGTCCATCCTTTAACCCCTCCCCCTCTTAAGAAAAGTATGAAATATTTTTCCCTTATCATTAAACGTAAATTCCAAGGATGCTAGTTCATTCCATATTCAGCGATCTTACGTTAAAATTGGGTAAATTCTCTCTATATTTACGAACGTTTCATCTACATCCTTGTGATACTAATCTAAAACATTTTATATATAAATTTGGATAGCCCATCTGCAAAAATAATTTGGGCAAATGAGCCGAAATGAAGTTATCCTATATCCATTTAAGTTAGCCAAAAAGTTCCTCAAAAAAATGCGGGAATTATGACTAGTCATTCTTATAAAATTCATCGACCTCCGCAATTTGAAATTTTCTGATATAGTTTTAAAAGTCCAGGTCTAAATATAAATTCAGTACTTATATTTGATAAATAATAATGTGCCAAAATTTCTATGGATCCTCCATATTTTGAGTGGAATATCCAAAACCCAGCGTAACCCTTAAAAGCCTTTGTCAGGTATTTTATAAATGGGTTAATTTCAATTGTTGATTTGATAAGAGAAGTGACTTGTGGTGTTCTTAACGACGATATGTTCCACTTTGTGGATCAGATAAGGTTACCGATAAAAAGACTTGAATTTACGACAGTTTATTTAATTAGCTATTTTTAAGTTTAACTTAAGAGTACAATGCACGTTTTGTTAAAATATTTATTTTGTTTCTAGACGTTTCTCCGAGTAAGATTGTTGACAAAGATCCTCTGTCTGCTGTTAATTTTCCACAGGTAAAAAATCATGATCTTAATCGATTATTTCGAATTATTTACACTATGGTCGAAACTTGTGTGTTAAATGACGCTGATCTTCAACCCTTGATCGATATCCTTTAAAAAATAAGAAGGAAACGTGCTTATTCACTAAAATATCGTTTTCTTTGCGGATTGCTTGTTTTGAGGTTAGCGACATTTTTCACTTCTGGTGTACGAAGTGGGAGATGAAAAAGGATTTCTTCTTAAGCTGAGTGCATCAGAAATACATTGAATGCATCATAAATACATTGAATACATCAGTAATACATTAATTACATCAGAATTACAATGATTACATCAGAAATACAATGATTACATCAGAAATACATTGATTACATGTCTTTTTGTGTAATAAATTTATTTTTGAAAGATCATTTTATTTTCTGTTCTATTTTAGTTGCAGAGCCATTTAAACCTGGACAGTTTGGATATGAATGGAGATCTTGTCTTGTCGAATTTTAGGTAATGAGCCAAATGCCATGATTATTTGAAAACAGAACAAAATTATCTCGGAGAAAAAGTTGTTCTAAGCATCATTTATGGGACATTTGTCAGTAATATTATTGATACAATCTATCATGTTAATTAGGAAGGTCATTTCTGTCTCTATTACCCAACTACTCCTTCAATAGTAAACACTAAAAAGAGCACTGACTGTAATATAAGTAAATGAGGTACTGCGCCTGGTAAAGTAGAGTTGCTGTTTTTTTCACAGCAACGTCCATACTCAATATTGCCTGGAGTATCTTCCTATTTAATATTTAAACTAGGATAGTTTTCCGTTTTAACCAATAATACTGAATGATAAAAATGTATTGACATAAAATTGTTTTACTTTCATAGATTAAATTTGTGTTTCAGTCCAGTTTTATCGATTTAAAGTAAAATTGTTAGTTTTTATGAAGTTTTTTAAAGTTTGTCGATTCTTTTATTCTGCAACTTTTTATCTGTTTAGTTCGTGTCTAATATGTGGAAGAACTCCTGGCATTGATAATCAGAACGACTCCATGGTGGATATTTTCTCTGAAATATCTATTCCAGGTTTGTTGATTTTTGATTTTCCATTTCACAAAATAGCGACTCGTGGATATATAAAGCTTGGACATAACAAATGGCTGACCCCCCCCCCCCATGTTCATAGACAAGTTTTAAAATTAACTATTATTAATTATTTGGGACAAATAGCCGCTTTTATTGAAAATTCATAATTAGCTTATTTTTCATTTATAGGTGAAAAGGGTTCTACTTCTATACACACAGTAATCGAGGATATTATTCCCATCCGGTTAGACAGCACTAGACCTCAATCATTCTCTTGTGTTGAGTGTTTTGCTGTGGTAGATGCAATCGCTAAACTCCGGGTTCAAATTAATGAATACATTTCTGTGATAAAGACAAGGTATGAAGAGTCATGTCGAACCAAGTCAAAGTTTCCCTCCGTGTCAGATTACACGTCAGTATTAGAACTGAAAATGCCTCTCAATATATTTAATGTTCGTGACGAGGAAGGTTTAACAATGTCTCCGGTCAAAGAATTCCAGAAGAAATCTAAGCTTCAAATCCTTGCTGAAACCCTAGAAGGAGAACATCTGCCCAGAGATAAACAGATCTCTGAGGAGCCTGACGGAAATCTTACTTTGAACAAAGAGAACAAGATGTTATGTAACCCAACATGTGATAAATGTGGAATTGAGTTCGAACCTGGACCTAGGCGTAACAAAACTTTGAAGACTAGGTGCAGCCCTTGCTCGAAGGTTGGGCGTTCCAAGAAAGTTTCAAAGACGCACGACTGTGCTTTTTGTAGCAAATCTTTCAAGTGCAAGAGCAGTCTTAACGAACATATCCAGCTCAAGCATTTCGGGAATTCCAAAGTAAGATTTTATTTTTGTCAATAAAAAACGATTCAGCTAAGAATATTCTTTTTTGTTGAGGTTCACCCTTGCAGTGTCTGTCAGGAGAAGTTTTCCTCCAAGCATGCTAGAATTATTCATGAAAGAATACACAAGGTTGGTTTTCTTTCCACTTTATAATTCTTACTTGTTAGTTCTGCTTGTTCAAAAAAAATTTTTAACTATTCTCAGGTGGTCACCAAACAACAAAAATTCGTATCGGAGTGTTAATTCAATTATTTCTAAAATAATTTTTTTTTAGAACGGTACAAAGGATTTGATTTGTGACGAGTGTGGTGATAGTTTTCTAACCTTTCAGTCCTTACAATTTCACAGGTATGGTAAATTACTTACTTTACAATAACTAAACATCAGTTAAAAATTATTTCATAGAAGATAAACGAATCTAAAGTTTCAATAACGGTGCCAATGAAGCTTTTATTTTAAATAAGATTATTTCCAAGGATTAACGAAACAACTTGTTAACTGAGAATATCTTAACTCTCAAATCTAAATCCTTAGTTTTGGAAATATTAAACCCCTATTGATTAATTTTTAAATATTTTTACGTAACTCTGAACACAATTCTACCATCATCATTCATCATACACAAGACAATTTTTGTTCAGGAGTAAACACACTGGAGACTTCTCATACAACTGCAGTTCATGCGGGAAAGGATTCAACAATTTTAAACTATTGGAAGAACATTCTCATATACATACTGGGCAGAAACCTTACGCTTGTTCAGAGTGCAATAAAAGTTTTGCCAACCGTGGCAGCCTTTGGTTGCATAAGAAAAAGCATGATGTTGTAAAACCGTACATGTGCGACTACTGTAACAAAGTGTTCGGGCACTCTTCACACCTGGTTGTACATAAACGTATGCATACTGGTGAAACACCGTACAAATGCAGGTTTTGTGCTGAAGGCTTCATTTCCGGAAATCACTTAAAACGACACATGAAAATCCACCAAAATGAGCTTCCTTACGCTTGTGGGATTTGTAAACAGGAGTTCGGGTAAGTCATTCTAGAACCTAATGCAAGAATTTGGATTTAAGTTCTTAATTTTCAGGAAGCGCAGTGATTTTGTTAAACACGGGAATACAGTTCACAACGGTAATATTATTGATGATATCAGAACGAAGGAAAATACTCCAGTAGAGAACCGTTCAGCTACTTCTGAGGAAGAGAATACTGTTGATAAGTATACAACTATACTAGTTGAGGATAACGAGAGAATATTACTAAGTAATGGATCTGAAGAGTTGCTTAATGCCCCTAGCGGGGGCTACACCAACTTCCCTCAAAGCATTCAAGTAAGCAAGTATCTGCCGGTCACTCTTCTGAATGGACTGGAGGAGGAGGATGGTAAGGAGGAGTCGGACCAAACCATAGTCTTCATAGAGATGCCGCAGAGCAACTATATGGAGGTGGAATTAGAGGAGGAAGGGGAGGGATAGAACGGAAACTTGAACAAGATCTGATTTTCGCTAATATCTGTCTGTGTTACAATATTCCAACTAGTGATTTTAAATGGAATACAGGGGTGAATATTTTTCTCAGCGCAACTTTAATTTCATGATCTAATACTGATCAAAAATATGTCTCATTTAATTCCTAGTTAGTGTTTTTTTTTTACTGAAAAATATCTACCCCTGGCTGGAGGCTTATAAATCGCATTTATTAGACTAATGTTTTACCGCAATTTTTACAAGATGCCACATTTTCTTGTTGCTAATAACCAAAGGAGAAATTTTAACTTTTATATCTAATTATATTTCAGAAGTTATTTTTAACAAATTTTTGTAACGAGGGGGTGAATACAGTATTGCAGCCTGGAGTCTTTGATTTTACAGAAAATAGTTAGGTAATCATTTAATAGTTGAGGGGGAACGAGCATTAAGTGTTGCTCTGATTTTTATCTACTTTTTTATTCCCTAATGTTTCAATTGACATTTTTAAGAAAGAGAAAAGGGTGTATTAAGGAATGTGTTCCATGTTAAAAGCGCATTCACAGAAGTAATATATTAGTTGTGGAAATTAAAGTTTCCAACGAATTTAATTTTGATCAGATTTTACAACGGACAGTCAAGTTTTGTTCACGGAGGTATTGACAGTGGAACAGATGCAGAGGTTGTTCGTGGTCAGCAGGAGATTCATCAGAAGATACTTCAGCTCAACTTCAAGGATTGCCATGCCAAGATCAGAAAGGTTTGTGCCGTGTATTATTATTTTTATTAAATAATAATTTAGCATTCAATTATGTTTTTCTCATTATCTCTTAAGTGTTTTATTTGTGAAGTCCTTAAATTCTTCAATCAAGCTGCAATAAGGGTTAGGGGTGATCAATATTGGAATTGAGCCAGCCGTCCACCGGTGTTCGCTGTATTTTCACTGAAAAAAAATATTGCAATCAAAAAAAAAATTTAATCGTCCATGGGGTTGCGATTTAACGGTTTAATATTCACCGTAAGACAAAAAAAAATTAATATCATGTTTTACATAATTTTTTTTGGAAATTTAATGCTGAATCCAAATCTGAGAAGCGTTTTTTTTTAAATTAATATTGAGAGTTAGAGCTAAAAACCTCATCAAAAACATTAACAAGTTAAAAATCGGAATTTTTTACCGTTATTTGGCCATAACTTCTTTAGATTTTAATAGTTAAAAAATGGTTTTCGAATCTGAATTCAGCATGAAATTCCCAAGAACATGATTTATCATATTCATTTTTTTGAAATATTTTTTAAGAACTTCTTTAGATTTTAATAGTTAAAAAATGGTTTTCGAATCTGAATTCAGCATGAAATTCCCAAGAACATGATTTATCATATTTATTTTTTTGAAATATTTTTTTAGGTCTTATGGCGATATCTCCGATATTAAATCGTTAATTCGCAACCCTATGGACAATTTTAAAATTTTCTTTTGATTACAAATCAATCACCCTTAATAAGGGAGCTCCCCGACATATTTTGTTGGTCAATTAAATGCTTAACAAGAAATTTTTGGGCACATATTATTCTTACCACGGTGTTAATGTAATAATTGGGTTTAGGTGGACTCCCACAAGACCCTGGCGGACGGAGTTGTAGTTCAGGTATCCGGGGAGCTCTCTAACAACGGGCAACCCATGAGAAGGTTTGTCCAGACCTTCGTCCTGGCCCCTCAGTCTCCGAAGAAGTACTACGTTCATAACGATATCTTCAGATATCAGGTAAGTGTTATTAAAGTAGGGAAACTAAATTGTTATCATAGATTTGTTACGTAAAAATTTATTAGACTTATGTTGTTTCAAATATTGATAAAGCAATTTTATTTATACTGCGAATGAAAGCAATCCTTTTTTAACTTCTTAAATTTTTAAAATGTTTTTTTGATGATTGAAATATTGAGAGTTAATTTGATTGAATTGATATATTTACTATTTGAAGGATGAGGTATTCTCGGATTGCGAGAACGAGGCAACGGCAAGTATAACGACTGACGAGGTTCGTCTCGAGGAACCTATTCAGAAGCAGATTATCGCCTCTGCCTCCAAGCCTGTTGTGCTCCCTGTACCCTCTGCTCCCCAGCTTCATGAGCCGGTCATCCAGGAACCTGTTGTTATGCAGGAAACTTTCCCGGTAATTTTATTTATTTCAGTCATCGTTTCCAGTCAAATACTTTATTCAACAGAAATCGAAATAAGCATATTAACAATTGCAAGCGGCATGCTAATTTCTGGTCAGTTTTAGTTGGGTCTCTTTAAGCTGCATAATATCTACACTTCGACCCTCCTTAAAGGTGTTAAAGTTAAGGCTAGAAAAGGGCGATAAGTATTTTAACTTTGTTGAATGCATTACTTCCAGACAGATTTTATTGTTCAATTTGTTTCAAAATAATTATCCTTTCTAAAAGACGTCTCCCATCTTTTCCCGGGTAAAAGAGGTGTTTTGAAGAGAGAAAAATCCACATCCCTTGCTAGATATAGACTAGATTACTCCATTTAAAAGCTCATTGAGTTTGTTTGGTTAATTGTATATTGATATTTGAAGGAGGCGCATATGAACGGTGGTGGCGGATATAAGAGTGCTGAAGAGGCGGATCAGGCGAGTATGGATGTCGAGGATACTGAATGGTCTGGAGCTGAATCTAACCAATGGAAGGATTCCCAACCGGAAACCTGGAAGGTATTATACTTTCTGTTCGTTATAATTTTAATTGAATTTAGTATAAACATTAGAACAACAAAATTGTTCCTAACCACTTCAAAGACGAATTTCATTAATCGAATTTTTCAATTTCGTAGTTCCTTGCAACACGGCAGCCATGAGCCACATAAAACTGCCTTTCATGAAAAATTGAAGTGGATTTGATTTGTTAAAATCTTTGATAAAAGTAAAATTGATTTTTTTGTTATTTAGATGGATTTTTTTACAGAAATATTTTATTTAAAGAAAATAATAATCATAGCAAATCAAAACAACTTCACTTCAAAACAACTTCGCGAACAAAACTTTTGCGATTTCATTGTAAAATCTATACCGAATGCGGAGGCTCCGCACTGCATAGCAAATCTTTGAGGCTATGGTGGTTGGGGTTCCCTCCTTCCAACAACTTAACAGTTGTTTCTATACTTGCAACATCATCTTACATCTCATTAAAAAAAAACTTGATAAGAAAAGAGGCAGGGTGGCCAAAATGTACGGATTGTACGGATTGATTTTTTTTAACCCTAAAATTGTACGGATTGTACGGATTGCACGGATTGTACGGATTTGTTTTCAAATTGTACGGATTGTACGGATTTTATCCTGGAAAATACAGCGTTTTTTTAAATTTTCACTCATTTCAGCAAATTTTTCATGAAAATAAAAAAAAAATCTCGTCAAAATGAAGTTAGTTTAACTTATTTTCTGCATTCTAAATAAATTGGTTTAAAAAAATGTACGGATTGTACGGATTTTTTTTAAAAAAATTGTACGGATTGTTTTTCGAAAATTGTACGGATTGTACGGATTTAGTCTGAAAATGTACGGATTTTTGTACGGATGGGTTCAAAAAAGTTTTGGCCACCCTGAAGAGGTCTTAATACATATTCAGAAAGTGTTGGATCCTCGCTAGCTAAATCCTAGTCATTTTGAGGCAACTTTCTTTTACGAATCGTCTTGTGTATTTTTTAATGATAAGCATCTAATATATTCATCACAATATTTATGTAATAATTATATCTTTTATCAGGAAAATTAATAAGAAGTTTTTGTATCAATTAACCTTTTGATTCAGCAGGAGGAGGAGGAGGCTGATCCTATGGTTGATGAGGAGGAGCAGGAGGAGGAGGAAGAGGAAGCTGCTCCTCCTCAGGAGAGCAGCTCCGAACCTATGTCCTGGAGCAGCAGGGTTAAGATGGGTTCCGGTGGTAAACCTCCAGTAGTTCCTGGGACCGGAAGTAAGGAAGGAACACCGTTTACTCAACCTGCTGCTGGACAGGGGAAACCATACAGAGGGAACAGGGGAACCAGTCAGGTATATATCTCTTCTCAGTTGTATCAGTATTTTTCAGGTCGGATACAGGATACAGGATACAGGATCCGGATCCGCTTTAAAATGAAATTGATCATAAGCACTGATATAAACTCTTTTCTATTATTTTCTAAATGTACATCCTAGTTGTAAAAAAAATATAACTTTAGAGAAACCCTTATCTTCTATTTTCTAGGGACGACCAAGCACTGGAGCTCCGGGTGCAGCTCCTGCAGTCCGACCAGACAGACGAGATGACGAACCTAGGGAAGGACGAAACCGTATGGTAAGAAAATATTTATAAAATACAAGTTGATCAAATAATAACTTTTTAAATTCAATGAAACAAGGAAAAATGGGTCCAAGCCAACAATCCATAATTTTTTTTTTTTGTTGGGGGTACTTTGAATTTATGATGACATAAAATGAACTGATCTATGTCAAGATGAGTAACAGCGGAACTAACGACCATCTTCAACTGTTTGTCGGTAATCTGCCCCAGACCTGTACGGATAACGATCTCCAGGAACTATTCCAACAGTTCGGAAAGGTAAAATTTTTCTTCATTTTGAGATCAAGCTTTATAATCCAAGTTAAGGCTTCGAGTTTTCTTTAGCGGAAAAAGGAATGAAGGAAAATCTGGGTTTAGAAATTTCGAATGTTGCTAGTCAGGGTTAAAAAAAATGTCAAACTTCCTTTTTTTCCGTATATTATATGATTATGTCTTGGGAGGGGCTTGCCGGTTAATGTCCACTTTTTTATTATTAGAAGGGATGGGAGTTAGTTCTTCATAACATATACCCTGGTCTTGTAATTTTATGTTCTGTAAATATTTTATTTTATCCTCAGGTTGCAGAAGTTCGTATCAACAAGAAGATTGGACGGAACACCAACAACAAGGATGGGAAGGTAGGAATTATATTGAGAAGGAGTATAGCTTGCCAACGCTTCGGATCTTATTCTACTTTTGAAGAGTGTTTTTTATGAAGCAGAAAAAGGACAGGATCCTCTCTTAAGTGATAAAAAGGTAACTAATCTAATTTTATTTTTAGGTTCCTAACTTTGGATTTGTTGTGTTTGAAGAGAGTGGTGCAGTAGAGCTTGCAATGAAGATAAAACCGACTCTCACTATTTCTGGATACAGGTTCAGTTTATTGTTTTTATTTATTTACTAATAATCAAGTATGTTAACTAAAAGTTTTACCTTTGATTATAAACAAGAACATTTATATATTACAACTTAAATAAGTTGAAACTGCTAGTTTCAGAATCCTTACATTGCAAAATTTTCACGGATTTCAAGAAATTTACTGGTTTACATATTTATCTAAAAAAATGACTTAATGACACCGAAAACAAGTTGACTATCTTGATATTTCTGATAAAATGGATCGTCTTTGGGCTTAAATCATGCGGCCAAATAAATGGCGTGAAAAGAAACTTGCTTTTTTACGATAAGAAATTTTATTCGGATTCATCCTGTTCCTACTTGCATTTCTTGCGATTTTACATCAATATTATAAAGCACTTTGCTTCTTGTTATATATTTACATGTTAGCTTTAGCTGACTATAGCTGAGGGTTGACATAGGCTTTAAAAATATTTTTTTTACTCCACGGGTTAAAGGTGGGAGTTACTAATATTATGAAAAATACTAAAAGCCTGGGCAACGCCAGGCACTCCGGATAGTTGCGTATAATATTGGTTTTCGGCTTTATTTTTGTTCATACTGTTCAGTGTTCAATGTTGCGTATATACGTGCTAAGGGCAAACAGACAACATTGTTATTATTGCGTATATTTGTATACAGAGTGTCTAAAATTGATTATATTTGTGTCTTTATTTTAGAATTTATTTGCGTTAATTATATTTACTTATATTGTGTACAGGTTGAACATCGAGGAGAAGAAGACGAAGCAGAGAGATCATAATGGTTCCGGAGGAGAACGTGGAGGTGGACAGGGGTTCTCTGACCGGGTCCAGGGAGGAAGAGGAGAACGGGGAAGTCAGGTATTTATCAAATTTGAATTTAAGTCATATCAATGCACACGAGAAAAAAATCTCCCATTCTTGACGGTTTTAACATGTGTCAAAAAATTATTATAAATTCTTATTATTGTGTATCTGACATTAATATTGTTCACCTAGAGATGGCATCTAATCTTGATGAATATTCACATTGTAGTTGAAATAATACACCATTTTCATAGAATATAAAAATTAAAAGTAATGAAAAAAATTATCCAATGATTAATATTTTATTAATAATTCCACTTTCATATACATGTATAAAAATTATCAAACTAATGTAAATAAATTAATTGAATTTATATAAAGCCATATTTAGTCTGAAAAATTTAGGATAATCTGAGAGGAGCTGGACACTCCGTAGGACGTGGAGGTGGTGGAGACCGCGGTAGAGTTGGAGGCGGAGGTGGTCGTGGTGGCGGACGTGGTAGAAGTGATTTTGGCAGTCGTGGTAGGGGCGGTCCTCCTTCGGAGTCCAGGGGCGGAGGATTCCGTGGTGGAGGTGGCGGAGGCGGGGGACCTAGACAGAATTAAAAACTTTCAATAATTCAAGTTTTTGGTTTCAAGCTGGGTTCCGTAATAATCGTTCAGTGAGAACTATGTGTATCTCGAAATATATATCTCGTAACTTGCACTAAAGGTATTCAAGGTTGAAAATTGTGGATGTTTTTTTACTTGAGAGACGAAACAATTCTGAAAAAATGTGTTTAATTTTAGAACACAAACCAATCGAATCACTTTTAGCAGGAAATCTTTTGATAAGATAATTTTTCTCGTAATAAAAAAACAACATTTTTTCTGAAGAAGTGTAGGCTGTGCAACGTTTGTTTTTTTTGGGGCATTTCTGCTAAATTGTTATCGTGCAACCTTGAATACTATTTTGTGCTGGGCAGGTTCAATATAGTTCCATGCCTCATGTCTCTCCATGTGATTCATTCGTCTAATTTCAAGCAGTTCCCTTTAACCTACCTGCAAATAAACAAACAAACATTAAAGATACCTGTTTACCAACCTCTTATTTATGTAAATTGTCACTTAGATCGATTTATTCACCAGGCCTGTGACAATAACGTTGATAATACGATGGTTTGTGATTTAGATGTTATCCAATCGGGATTTATACTAAATCTTAGTGCATGGCCTGACTAGTTCTTAGCTGGTTTGGTTAAATTCTCACGTACCTTGAAGATTTAAACTAACTGCTATTGATACGTGTCTAACACTAATTACGGCCTGTTAAACCTAAAACACTGGTTGTGTAACGGTCTTGGTTTATATAACGTAATCTATACTTGCGCAAGGTCAATTATCATAAATAAGTATCATTTGCTTTATGATTATCTGGTAAGACTGAAACTAAGATAATCCCAATGTACTAAGAAATGGTTTGAATTGTATCAGTATCTATCCATCTTATCTACTCAACATCATACAACTAGTAAAATCAGGAATTTGTAAACTAGGCCACATAGTTTATTCTGTTCAGCTAATGGACGAATTTTAACTCTCTGTCCTAGTTCATAGTTCCAAATGAAGATAAGCTCGAGAATTTCTGGAAAATGTCCGGGTTCCTGAACTTGAAAGATTTACTTCAAATTGTAGTGTTCAATTATTCGAATTCTCTCAAAAACATATCTAAAATTTAGTTTTCCCCCCCCCCCTCTTCATTTTCCAACATTTTTGTTACTTTTCCATTCTAGTCTGATTTTTGGTAAAATTGGATCTCTGACCCCCTGTAATTGGACTAAACTGTAAGAATAAATTGATTTCTGTTGATTTAGTATTATTATCTTGTGATTTCTTTGCCAAATTATAAATTATTTTTTCTTTTTTATTTCTCTAGACGCCTGTCGCAATTTTCTATCCAATATGTACTAATTAACGAAATACACACTAATAGTACTGTCAAATGTGAGAATAACTTTTTAATTTTTTGTTGAATTATTGTATCGGAATTTTAGTTGAAACTGAGAGGTTGTCATGTGGTTTTAAGCTTCGAATACAAATCATTTTGAATGATCAAATTACATCTTAGTTTTTGACCACGTTAGCTCAGCTTTTAGTGACTTAGTTGTGCTTTCTGAATTTGGCGCTAACCATCCGCAAGAACATATGTTTTTTTTTATAAAATTCATTATCAACATTTTATTATTTTCACATGTGTATCGTTTATTTGAAGAGAGAGATGGATAATTAGCCCATTTGAAACTTTCAATTAATATAAAGAAAAACCATGAAGGTATTTACATTATGACTTTAGAAAATAGTTGTTGATTGGAAAAGAATGAGAAGACAATTGTAAGGAAATACAGGGTGTCCCACATCAAATTAGACCAAGGCAATGAGTATAAATTAAAATTTGGGGAACAAATCAGAAAATTCAAGAAGATTGAATCATTTTTATAAATTTAATGAGGCTAATAGAAAAAAAGTTGCATAAAATGTTAGATTTTTCTACTATTATGTGAGTATTTTGGCGTTGAAGATTGGAGATAAAATGATATGGGACCAAAGATAATATATATATAGATATGCAGGCAGGTAGAAACCTCCTTCCTAAATTGCTTGAAGCAGACAACTAATTTTTGAACCTCTGAGAAAATTTGTAAGGAGAGACATCTATAGCAAATTGATTACTTTCTATATTCCTTTCTCCCCTTGCTGCTATCTGTATGAAATACGGATTTGTGTTATATAAACATACAGTACGCGTATTGCATCCTGTATAGTTCAAGTGTTGCTATCTGGACCTGTTTGACCAATAAAATTAAATTTCAAGGTAACACAAACATACAGTACGCGTTTTGCTTATGGTCTGATCAGTTGTACTTAGTAAAGATATAGTAGACAAACAGAAATATTGACAAACCTTTGGAAATTATTTTATATTTGTTAAATAAGTGATATCTATTTAATCAAATGGTTTTTATGAGATATTTAAATAGAATTAGATTTTTTAATTGGTACCATAATATGCAATTAAGATGTTGGGGTTGATGGTTTAAAGAATTATTAAAATTACTGTTTTTTATACATGAATTCTAGGAAACAAGGCAAATAAATTGCAGCATTTTTTTGGGACGACTTTTTCATACAGTTGACAATACTCAAACCAAACCAAACCTAGGATGATCATTTTAGGAAAGTAATGGAGTTTTTTTGAGTTTTTGGGGTTAAGGGGGTGATGAGCCAGTTCTGAGCCATGAAGAGCCAGGAGCAACCGACCATAGTAGTGTTGAATGGGATGTATTGTTCGACCGGATCCTGTCCTAGGACTTTGTCCTAGATTCGAAGATTTGCGCGAATTTTTTTTTGCCCCCCCCCCCCAGGAGCTCCTAGGGGGGGGGCAAAATGCTGTTTGCACATTTTCTCAAGACCTCTAAATTTATACCTGCCTGCATATCTATATATATATTATCTTTGTATGGGACGCTCTGTATCTCTTTATTGCTGGGAGGATAGGGTGGGTATACCCCTAGAAAGGGGGCGCAGAGCCACCACGAGCTCCGGAAAATGACCTACAGAGCCTCTAGATTCGCAGAATGACCTCCTAGCCAATCAAAATCATCCCCGTATCTCACGGTACGTCTCCGAGCCTCCGTAACTCTTAATCCACGTCCATCACTTTTATCTTCAATAACATATATCTGGCTAAATCCAGCAAAAGCCTTATTTTCGAAAAATTTCAACATGATCAAAAAAAATTAATAATAAACAAACACTATGTCTTGAAAAAGTTAATTTTAATTGAGAAATAGACTTTGTTTTGTGAATTGGTACTTGTATAGCTTTTGAGTCTAGTGAGGGGGAAGGCCAGCCACAACAATATCCCGTCCGAGCCACATTCTACTAACTTTTTACTGATCAACCTTGAAATTCTCGTTCTTCTATTGATATTTTTTAAGATCAAACTTAACTACTATTTATTAAAGCTGGCCACGTGAGGGCATAAAATATGGTTAGCAATGATTTCATAATTTGGGAATCTGACTCAAAGAAGGAGAAGGTTTTTTAGGTAGCTCGGACGAGAAATTTTTTTTTGGCATTACCCAATGAACCCAATAAACCGAAATCTCTTAGTTGTAGTTTTTAGTATTATTCAGTGAGGATTTATACGAAAAACTTTCCAAGGATGGGACGCAGGAGAAGATAAACCTAGTGTTGATCTATGTTAGACATTGTGTTAAAATCATCTAAAAAATGCTTAGATTTTTCAACTTCTGATTACTAAATGAAGAAACCTGGGAAACCATTGTTCGGATTTGGCTCTTTTGAGTTCTCAAGTTCATTTTATAGTCTTCCTGCAGGGATCCAAGGTCATATAAATGCTTTTGTAAAACATTTTTTCTATGGAAAATTGGGAACATCTCCGAAATGTACTCTGTAAGTGTATATGCTGAACCCTTGAAAGTCATAGAATAAACAAACCTCCTGGAAAGTTGATTTCAAATCTGAGAAAAATCAAAACTTGAAGGAATACGGGGTTCTTATGTATTTGGGTCAAGAAGAGAGACCTCCTAAGTTTATCTAACTATAAGTATTTATAAAAAGCCCTCTGTAATGGATTGGTTAAAAAATAGTTTCCGATTGGATTTTTTTTTTAATAAAAAAACCTTTCTTTTCGACCGTTGAGAACCAAAACATGGGGATAAAAGATGCTTTATATTCGGTACTCGGCAATTGAGAAACTATAAATGAACGGTATCATTTTAATCTAATTTGATTATATCAATATTAATACCCTGACACATCAATTCGGTTATATCTATTAATGTTTTGTTTTATTTTGAACGAATTTTATGTGTATAATAGAATAGATTGTATAATTTTATTGTATCATTTCCTACACCACATTTTCCCACACATGTTATCAATCATTGAATAAAGCGAGTGTAAAATTGTTAAATCCAAATTTTTCAAGCCTTCAGTTTGAGGTTTCCATTTTTACTAAAAATCGAATTCATGTACTCATAGATTAATAACAACACTGATAGAACACTAGATGTCGTCTTTTCATGATTTATGGGTTATTCGTTAACAATAACCCTGAGACAGAAGCCGCGTTGAATTACAATAAAAGACTTTTAAAGGGCTTCTGTCTCAGGGTTATTGTGAACGAAAAACCCATAAATCATGAAAAGACCATTCTAGTTTTCTATCTGTATTGTTATTAATCTATGCAGTTATTATTTTCTAGTTCAAGTAAAGTTTCATTATCCCGTGTTCATGATTTCATTTGATGGTGTATCTTTCGACCTACGCAAATCCGCTATACTCCACTTGTGACATGCACCAAATCCGCTATTATTCTAACACATGATCTACTAGCCCGTGGTTTTACAGCTGCTAGATGGACACGTGGCCGCAGCGCTCGGCCCAGAACTTGTCCTAACCTAACCCTCAAATAATACAAAAATAAATAGCTGGTGTAGGTCCGATATTGTAGTAGGTCAGAAGTTCAGTAGGGGGGATGTTGCGTATATGGATGATTTAACATTACCTTTCATTTACAACATGGTAAACGTGCATGGTTAAATTGTACCGTTCAAATTTTCAATTACGTCCGGGAGTTATTCTGTTTCTAAAAACGTGATAGAAGTTTTTTATCGCGTCCTAAACTTGAGATGGGCTTAAAACGTTCTGAGCTGAAAACTTTAGAATGAGATATCCATAATCCCGATCAGTTAATTAGTCTGGAGATTAATAACAAGAGGAGAACAAGCATTATTTAATCTGGAGATTAAGAAAAAGAGTGGATCAAGCATTGATCTCGATTTCCACCATTCTAAAGTTTTTAGCTCTGGTTTATATGTACCGTAAAAGTGTTAAATGAAGTTTGCTAGGTCTTTAAAATATGTTGGTTAAATTGTCCTGTTAAAACATGATGGTTAAATTGTTCTGTTAAAACATGATGGTTAAATTGTCCTGTTAAAACATGATGGTTAAATTGTCCTGTTAAAACATGATGGTTAAATTGTCCTGTTAAAACATGATGGTTAAATTATCCTGTTAAAAGGTTTTTAATACGTCCGGAGCTAAAGTTGATCTCTAAAATGTGCTGGTTAACCTGTTAAACGTACGTCATGATGTCCGGGAGTTGATAAGTTTATAAAAACGTATTGTCTCGTTATATACAGGGTATCCCAATAAACATGGGAATTCAGTGACGAATTCGATATCGCCTTCATAAATATTTCTTCGATTTAGTATAGTGACAAATAGATTATCAAGTACAATAGATGGCAACAGAGAAATCAACCTATTATACACTTCGTCACAAGTGTCAAATATAACAAGGAAAACGAAATTTTCTCAAATTAGTTGACATGTTTCCCAAGATGAAATAAAAAGTGTAAAAACAGAAACTAAAGAACACATTAAATTGCACTTATTTTACTGTAAGAAAAGCACTTTATTCTAATATTATCAATATTATTGATGATTTTGTCGGACACAAAAACTGAATTGACACTTGTGACGACAGAATACAACTGTACTGTGAGTGTACAAATTCTACGTTGCCTTGCCATCTATTGTACTAGAATCTATTTGGTATAGTTATACCTACTGAGAAAGCTGTAATCTGTAAGAGTTGCGTCTGCTATGTATACATTTTGTTTGTTTATGTTTAGACTGCATACGGTTGTACTTTGTAAAACAAGAAAATTGCAGTATACAAACAAAACTTGTCCGTCTTCACTGCAGTTCATCTTGCAGAGACATTATAGACACATCTTTACAGTCTTTTATCCTTTTCATAAAATAAACGCTAGCAGACATAATAATATTATGGCTTTTTATATTAGGTATTACAATGCTAATTCACAACAAAGACGATATCAAATTCGTCACTGAATTCCCATGTTTTTTGCGACACCCTGTATTTGAAATCGCGTATAGTTAACGTCTG